CAAGGCCTGATCATTTGTTTTTAAAATAAGATTTTACATATTCCAAAGGCAGAGTAACACGGAGTGAGGGAGAAACGGAAATCTTCCATCAACTGATTGACTTCCCAAATGATCAGGGCTGGACCAAGCCTCAGCAAGGAGCCTAAAACTCTGTCAAAATATGACCCATGTGGATGGTAGAGATGCAAGTATTTGAGCCATATTCTGCTGCCTTCCCATCACCTTAGCAGGGAGCTAGGTCAGAAGTGGAGCAGCCCTAGGACTCAAACGGATGCTCCAATATGGGATGCCAGCATTGGCAGGTGGCATCTGAAACGTGCTGTCCCACTACACCTGTCTGGGCCTGGGCTTTTGACGTACAAGTTAAGAAACTGATTAGAATATCCAAATGCTGTGTTCAGGTGACTGAGTACATCTGATCCCCAGCTCTGGCTGCTGACTCAGTAGCTTCCCGCACTGCGGACCTGAGAGGCCCCAGGTAATGGCTCAGGCAGGTTGGGTTCTCATCGCTCACTGGCAGATCCAGCTCCAGTTCTCAGCTCCTAGCTGCAGCCTGGGCTCAGCCGCAACTTTTGTGGGCATTTGAGATGGGAGCTCACTCACTTTCTCTGTCTCAAGTAAACAAACAAGCCTTTTCTTTCAATAATATAAAGAACTGTCTTGCTGTGAGTGAAAGGAAATCCGTGGTTTGAAGTGAGCAGTGAATCCCAGAATGAGGCGTCCCCTCTGAATGTGTTTGAACATATTTAGCATTATGAAGAGTTAGCGTGTGGGATTGTGGGTCCTCATCTCCATCTCCCACTGCTCTGACTAGTGAGTCTCAAGACGGCGAGCTCTTACCTCTCACCGGGTGCTGGGCAATGTCTGAGACGTTGTTGATGGTCACAACTTGGGAGTAATACTGGCATCTAGTGGGTAAAGGCCAGGGTTGCTCCCAGGAACAGAGCATGCTCTCTCAATCAAGGATGATCTGGCTCAAAACTGTCCACGATGCTGTGGTTGAAATGCCCCGTCGTGGGCGCAAGAGCATGTGCAAGTCCTGTTTTGAGTTTCATAAAAAGTAAGTTAAGTCTTACTTAACTATGCTTACAAAAATAATTACATAGCTCTCTAAATATTCACTGCCTGTTTGAGTTGCAAAGATAGCCTAAGGCGGTGTTCTTGACAATTAATATTCTTCATAAAAAAATTCAACGCACTACAAGTTAACCATGGATTGGAACTCTCAGTACAGATTAATTTACACCAACTTAATTTGTTCCTGACTTTTTAGGAATTTGTGTGAAATGAGGAACCCATGTCTAAGAGACATCACTTAAGCTGTCATCTTCTCTCTTGTGTAGAGATAAATTTACATTTTAGCTAAGATTCTTTTTCAATCTTTAGACATGTTCTAGGTGCTCTGAAATAATATCCAAGATGATGTAAGTTCTGTTTTCCAGAAAGACCTATAAGATGCATAAGAGATTAATCCCTCTAAGTATATAATCAATGAATGATCCCATTTTTGTCACATTATTTTAATTTTTTTTCAAAAATTTTGTTTGAAAACCCATAAGATGGATGCAGAGAAATCCTCCATTGTTGGTTTGCCCCTCAGTAGCCCACCACAGCCAAGGTTGGCCCAGGCTGGAGCCAGCAGCAGAGGGCTCCAGCCACGTCCCCAACAGAGGTGCCAAGGGTCCAGTTCCTGTCATCTGCTGTCACCCAGAGCCTGCGTCAGGAGGAAGCAGGACTCGAACCCAGGCTCTTTGGGTGGAAAATGAACTCGATAGACCACACACGCTCATCTTGTCATGTTTCTTTTGTGTCTTGGGGGGTGCTGACACACAACCATCGATTAAATTCCAGGGTTGAAGGCATAGTTTGAATGTGATCAGTAATTGATGGACTATGGGGTCTTTTATCAGGCAGATCATGTGGGCCAACTAGTGGTTCAGGTGTGGGAAAGCTCTAAGAGGAATGCAATGTAAGAGCCTATTGTTCTCCTAAACATCTTGAACATCTCATTCCATCCCACTCAAAAGGAGATGGCAATTTTGTTACGCTGGGTCAGCCTAAGTAACCAGTTTCTGTAATGCCTGGTGACAATTTTAACCTCAAGGATTCTATTTTTAGCAAGAAAACAAGACCTTTTTATCTTTCAGTCAAATGGCAAGCCAGATGAGACAGAGAGTCTCTGAATTAATTGCTTAATCACAAGACGCCACAAAGCAAACAAGCAAAATGGATATGTGAAAATGTCAGGGAAAACAGATAAGAGTACTTAAACATAAAATGGTTTAATGCACCAAGCACCATGTACCCTTGGAGGAGATTTGCGGAACGCTCCTGGTGGGCACACCCCTTCAAGCTGCAATGGGTCTGGCGACTGTTGCTCTGTCAGCAGTGAAGCAAATGGTTTTTCACTCTGAGAGAGCTTCCAGCATCTGACGCCTCCTCGGTGAATTCTTGTAGGAAGATGGAGTCCTAATTAGGCAGCAATCGAAGGTCTTAGCAGTTACTCCCCAGAAGGTGTGCTGTGTCAGCTGCCAGATGTCAACCTTGGCTCAAGTCTCAGATCCGAAGGACATCATTCGTGTCTGATGGTGTAGCTGTGTGTCAGCGTGTGGGAAGTAATGGGCTCCTCGCTTTCAGCCAGCCACTTGGCTCGAGTGCAGCTTGTGTCACAAGGATAAGCTCAAAATAGAGTTAGGGCTGTCAAAACACAGCCGTATTAATCATAACTAAAGTTTACTTCGATCCACAAGAATATTAATACAGCAAGCTGCACACAGAACACAGGTGTATCCAGGAGATGTATCTTCAGGTGGAGATACACAGGTGTATCTTCAGTGTGGAGCTGCTGTGCACTGTATGTGTTCTGTTTATTCAGTAACTGCAAACGACACGTGGTATCAAGCCCTTTCATACACATCTTAAAAAAATAAAAACTTCAGTTTTACTTAATTTCAATGAAATTTCTAAACTCTTTTAAAGAAATATTTACATATATGTGTCTGTGTGTGTGTGTGTGTGTAAAAGTAGGCTTTACAGAGACAAGAAACAGAAGGAGGGGATCTTCCGTCTGCTGGTTCACTCCCCAAGTGACCACAACGGCCTGCACTGAGCTGATCTGAAGCCAGGAGCCAGGAGCTACTTCCAGGTCCCCCACATGAGTTTAGGGGCCCATGGTCTTGAGCTTGCTCTGCTGCTTTCCCAGGCCACAGGCAGGGAGCTGGATGGGAAGTGGAGCCGCAGGGATTAGAACCAGCGCCCACATGGGATCCCAGAGCTGCAAGGCAGAGGATTCGCTGTGGGTAACTTCCTGGCTCCCAGCTTCAGGTCAACTCAGCTCTGACTGTGCATCATTTGGGGGAGTGAACCAGCAGATGGAAGACCTTCTCTGTCCCTCATTCTCCCAGCTAAAACTACCCTTCATATAAAAATAAATAACTCTTTAAAAACAAAAAAGAACAAAGGGACCCTGTTAATAATGCAAATTTAAGATGTAACATTTTTGAATATTAGAAACTTAAAAAATAAAGTCAGATGTTTCCATTATCCGTAGTTGGGTTTTATTTCTGCTTTATCGTTCTTTGTCCTTGAATTGAGAGCTGTACTTGAGGGATTAGACAGGGACAGTAGGAGCTTGTACTAATTCGGTATTAAGTTACATGCATAAAGCATTTTGAGGACTGCAGATGTAAGCAGAATTGTAATATAAGCATGTTAAAGTTCTCTTTCCTCATACTATTACGAAAAGTAGCCTCTAAAATTGGCCTAATGAGAAGAAATTCAGAACTTCTCTCTGGAACCGTGAATTTAATAATTTACAGGTTGGATTTATTTCTCCCTCTCACGCAGCAGTTAAATGTGTGGGCTGATACACAAGCTGCATTTGTGGCTTTTACTGGTGACACCAACTGGGGACGGGATCTTTGTCTCTGGAAGTGGAAAGGCTGGCCGGAGGGCAGGTCCCTGGGCCCGCGCCCACAGCGTGCGTGGAGCTGACTGCCACAACGCCAGCAGTGTTTGTCTGTGGAAGTGGAAAGGCTGGCCGGAGGGCAGGTCCCTGGGCCCGCGCCCACAGCGTGCGTGGAGCTGACTGCCACAACGCCAGCAGTGTTTGTCTGTGGAAGTGGAAAGGCTGGCCGGAGGGCAGGTCCCTGGGCCCGCGCTCACAGCGTGGAGCTGACTGCCACAACGCCAGCAGTGTTTGTCCTGGAAGTGGAAAGGCTGGCCGGAGGGCAGGTCCCTGGGCCCGCGCCCACAGCGTGCGTGGAGCTGACTGCCACAACGCCAGCAGTGTTTGTCCTGGAGATGTTTGAGGGATACTTGGAGAGCCACCCTCTCAGTGCGAAGCTTGTGTGTTCTCTGGGGAGAGTGTCTAAAATCCAACCAGCTCTTCACTGTCAGTCACTTAACCTCATGTATACTGTCAATCCTTTAAGAAATGCCACTCCTTTATGCACTAGGATAAACAATTTACATAACAACACTCAGTGCTTTACAAATAATGTTCTGGGCCCAGCACAGTAGCCTAGTGGCCAAAGTCCTAACCTTGCACACATATGGAATCCCATATGGGCACCTGTTCTAATCCCGGCCACCCTGCTTCCCATCCAGCTCCCTGCTTGTGGCCTGGGAAAGCAGTCGAGGACCGATCAAAGCTTGGGACCTGCACCCATGTGGGAGACCTGGACAAAGCTCCTGACTCCTGGCTTCAGATCTGTGCAGCTCTAGCTGTTGCAACTGCTTGGGGAGTGGAATCAGTGGAGAGAGGATCTTCTTTGCCTGTGCTCCTCTCTGTATATCTGACTTTCCAATAAAAATCAAATAAATCTCCTTTAAAAATGCCCTTCCAGGGCCGTATAAACACGGTGAGAGCGCTCTTTGCAGTGCTGCCTCCTGTTTGAGTGGACAGCGATGCTTGCAATCGCTCATGGAGTGCTTAGCAAGTGGCACGGTGTTCTGTGCTCAGTTCCCAGGACTCACAGCTTTGTTTTCATGCATTGCAGGTGGTTTTCATGAGCCTGTGCAAAAGTTTTTGGGACTGTGGACTTGTAGCCCTGGATGATATTACAATCCAGTTGGGAAGCTGCTGGGCTTCAGGTAAGATGATCGTCCCGCTTTGCTTTGCCACCCTGGCCTGTATGTGGCACTTCTGGTTCACCTGAGAACCACATATGCCCTCTGCTTTCTTGGCAGAAGAGCCTCATGGCCACACTGAATAGTTGGGTTTGGGTTTTAGAGATGACATCCCAGGGCCCAGCTCAGTGGCCTAGTGGCTGAAGACCTTGCCTCGAACGTACCAAGATTCCTTATGGGTGCCACTTCTAATCCCAGCAGCCCTGCTTCCCATCCAGCTCCCTGCTTGTGGCCTGCGAAAGCAGTGGAGGACAGCCCAAAGCCTAGGGACCCTGCACTCGACACTCCCCCGAGAGGGCCAGGGGACAAACCACTGGACCGTCTGCCTTTACTGCTCCAGCCGCATCAGCAGAGAGCCGGGTCAGAAGCAGGGCCGCCCGGTCACCAACTGGAAGCCGTATGAAATGTGGGGTGTCTGGAAGCAGCTCCACTTGCTGGCCACAACAAGGGCCCTATATTGATTTCTTCAACAGGAAAATAATACCAGTCTACACCAGAGAATACTCTTCATGTTTATTTAGTAGTGCTAGTCAAAATCAAATGTAGCAAAATGTTAATTAGGTAAAGGATGTAAAAAGCAGGCTAAGTATTAGAGAAATTTGTTAACAGTTTAGGTATATAACCAAGCTCAGTGAAAGGAGAAGTCTCCAGTAAATTAGGAAATATAAACATTACAATAACTATCTGGTGCCATGGTATAGCAAGCTAAGCCTCACGCTGTGGTGCCAGTATCCCTATGGGGGCTGGTCCAAGTGCTAGCAGTTCCATTTGCGTTCTGGTGTCCTGCTAATGGCCTGGGGAGGCAGCAGAGGTCCATGTACCCGCATGGGAGACCCAGACAGGGATCCTGGTGCCTGGCTTTGGACCGGCCCAACTCCAGCCAGCGTGGCCACTTGGAGACTGAACCAACACATAAAGACCTCTCCCTCTCTCTTTGTAGCTCTGCCTTTCAAATAAAATAAAAGATAAATCTTCAATAATAGTAAAGTTTTTGAAAGCAACAGCCAAAGACATAAATATTTGTACTTGGAAGTGATAGCAACCATCTAGGTAGCAAAAAAATATATATAAATTGAATTAATATTTATGAAGCCCTTCATGCCCTGAATGCTTTGCCCATCGTCTCCTGTAGTTCTCACCAGCCCCTGGAGCACTGTTACCACTCCTGGGAGCACTGGGAATGCTGGGGCGCCGAGCGGCCGGCTCCTGTGTCCCGTGGAGCTGTGCCCCTGCAGGTGCAGCTGGCTTCCACGCGGTCTCCCCTTCTGCCAGCACAGCATTAGGGCTGGCCTGAGTGCGTGACTCCGCTCATCTGCATTTCTGAAGAATGTTCACGCGTTGCATAACCTTATCATCTTCCTTCTTTCCAGTTTCAGAGCTTTGGAAGTTCATGCGCATGAAGAAACTTTTTCTTGAAAATAGCACAATGTTTTCTAATCTTAGAGTTGGTGGCAGGCACAGAGAGGGTGGGGAAACAAGCTCCATTCACTGATTTACTCCCCAGATGGCCGTGGTGGCCAGCACTGACTTGGGGTGGTCTTTGGACAAATGCGGTTACTTAAGCCGTCGCTGCTGTCGCTCAGGGCCTGAATCAGCAGGCAGCTGAAGTCAGCAGCCAGGGCTGGAGTCCAACCCAGGCCTCCAGGGTGAGACACTGGTCAGCAATCAGCATCCTAACCGCCAGGCCAAAGGCCTGCTGGCTCCGTGCTTCAGATCTGTTTCTGGCTGTTCTCTGCCCCTGTGGCAGGACTGCTGGTCATCAGCAGACCCCGGCTGGAAGCAAGAGCTGAGGGTGGATGCCACTCTGCGTCCCTGGCATATGCCAGCTGATACTCGGGTGCAGTGCTGGCTGCCAGCAAGCCGTGTCATGCACCTTCTTGGCAAGCATCCCGCACCTGTGACACCTGCTGTTTCCTTTGCAGAGAGACTCCCGCCCCCGCCTGGAGAGTGCACTTTCGAACAGGATGAATGTGCCTTTACCCAGGAGGAAAAAAACCGGAGCAGCTGGCACAGGAGGAGGGGCGAGACGCCCACCTCCTACACGGGACCCAAGGGAGACCACACGACTGGGGTAGGTGAGTTACGCCACGTGGTGCTGTGTCTTAAGGAAACCTGAAATAGCGTATTCTGCACACCATCTACTGCATTTTGAACTGGCAATGCGTGTCTCGTGACCAGAACAAGTTATCACGTGTTCCTACACATCCAGGGTTGTTCAGTTGGGACGTTAGAATCCTTTGCACGTTACCTTGCTTATGGAGACTGCTGCTCACAGGGTGCAGACCACCTTACAAGGGACATGATGTCACTGACCCGGATGTTGGACATAATACACATACATTCCTCAGCATAGAACCTGGACCAAACAATACTTTAAAAACAAATATTCGGGCATGGCATGATAGCCTAGTGGCTAAATCCTCACCATATAAGTGCTACGATCCCATATGGGCACCGGTTCATGTCCCGGCAGCCCCACTTCCCATCCAGCTCCCTGCTTATGGCCTGGGAAAGCAGTCAAGGATTGCTCAAAGCCTTGGGTCCCTGCACCCACGTGGGACACCCAGAAGAAGCTCCTGAGTCCTGGCTTCAGATCGGCTCAGCTTCAGCCATTGTGTTCTCTGGGGAGTGAACCAACAGACAGAAGATCTTTCTCTCTATCTCCTTCTCTCTATAAATCTGCCTTTCCCATAAAAAAATATAAATCTTTAAAAAATAAAAACAAATATTTCTGAGGCTGCAGAGATACATAAAAATATTTAATTAGCGTAGATTTAAAAATAAGACAAGAATACAAAAGTTAAAACAAAATGATGCTGGCACAGACTGGCGTCAGGCCTGAGGCTGCCAAAAAAATGCTGCTGTGTAACATGATTCCCAGGGTTTCCAAAAGCAGAGGGAGAGAATGAGGGAGCCCAGGGCTAGAAGCAGGTCAGACTAACTCCACCTCACAGCCCCTGGCCAATACCTTCACAATAAACAAAGCAGAAGCATTCTTTCTGTGGCAACCAGGCATTCCACTGTCTTCCCCAAATGGCCAGGGACATGCCCTCTCATTTCCCTATTTACCCCTTTGTTGTGCTGTCAGGTAATAGAGCAACTGTTCTGGCCTCTTCCAGCTGAGTAGGGTCATAGTAGTGACTCATGGTCCAGGCAGAGTTGCAGCAGAAGGTAGCCTCGGGGGGTCATGGCTCCAGCTAGCACAGCCTGTTTCCATCTGAAGTTTCATGTGCTTGTCCATCTAGGATTTCATTGGTCTAAGTCTGGGGGAGATAGAGATCCCACAAGCAGATGAAGTACAGAGTCCAAAGGACAGTGTCATTAGAGGACTTCAGAAAGGGCTGTCCAAGCCCAGAGGGGGTGTTCCCGTTGAGAGGCAAACAGAAGTTGACAGCGGGTGTGCAGGCCTGGCCAGGTATGTGTGAGGCCAAGATTCGCCTATCTGTGCACATTGTGGGGAGCGGGGGGCTAAAGCCGCTGCTGGGATTGGAAGGGGCTGTTGCAAGATGGCAGCTGGTCCAGGCCCAGGACGCAGAGCTGGTCTGCCAGCAGGAAAACAGGAAGTCACAGGGATAGGCTAATGCCCCGGGATTACTGGCCTATCACGTAGCGCCAAGTGGACCCACGGGGAGAAGTGATTGGTGGAGAACGATATAAAAGTAGCCGGTAAAAGCTAGGCAGAGGACGACGGACAGACTAAGACGATGATGGGCGGATGACGACAGACGAGGGACGGACAGAATGGACGGACGGACGACTAAGAGAAACAGACAGAGAAAGACTGGAGGCGACGAGGAGAAAGACTGAGAGACTACAAGGAGAAAGACTGGACGAGGGGGAAGAAGGACGGGTGGAAAGAAGGGTGGCGGAGAGAGAGCTGGAAAAGAGGGATACAGACAGAAGCAGTAAAAGCAGTATGGAGAGACGGGGACAAGAATGGAGAAATGCAGCAGAAAGTACGGGAAGAAATATGGGAAGAAGGGTGGCGGAATTAGGGCTGGAGAAGCGGGCAGGAAAGCTTAGACCAACGGGGACAGGAGCAGCGGAGAGAAGGATTTAAACACAGCCGCTTTTGGCAGTGAGGGGTCCGGTTGCGGTTCCGGCTTTTCCCGGACTGTCAAGAGCGTGACTCATCGTTTCAGTGCCACCGCTGCTGGGTGACGGTCACATCACATGGCTTACTGGAGCAGACGTAATGGACACATGAAACTTCGTAGGGACGATGCTGCGTTGACTTTCGTCTGGCTCATCATCCCTGTGTGTGCAGGAACTCATGAGCCAGTCAAACCGTCCTTGCTGCGCGTCCTGGCTCCATTCAGTTTCTGTTGACAGAACAGCGCGTGATGCTGCACTGTGGCGACGCTCGCCATGGGTTTGTAACCACCCGCGGGGCGGGCTTGTGCACGCACCTCTGAGCTGGTCCCGGGGGCAGAGGTCCTGTGAAGAACACGTGGAACCAAGGGGAACACTGCGTGTGGCAGAGGCCCAGTGCTGATCAGTGACAAGCCTGCCGACGTCATTCTAGTTATGCAAGTTGGTCTAGTAACTATATAGATATTGAACTTGCTGGGTGTCCCATGTATGCTGCTTCAAGGCATTTCTCCTTTTCCCTATTTACACAAACGCAGATAAACCTGAGAAGTCCTACTAGCTTATCACAAGGGCGGAAGGGAATGTCTTGCCGCCGTGTGCACTAGTGCAGGCCCTCGCCTCTGCATTTCCCCTGGGGCCCAACCCAGCAGGCAGAGCGGTCAGGCCCGTGGAGTGTGGCCTGTCGTCCGTACATGTCCCGTCGAGTGATGCGTCCTCCCAGATGTGCTCAGGGAACGGGTCCACAGCTGCAAGAAGTAATGAGACATGTTAATTTGTGAAGTTTGTTTTTATAACCTTTTTTTGTAATTGATATTGCCGAACAGTTTAATATAGTCAGGTGATCATACAAAATATCATAGACTGTAGGTGGCGCAATTGGCTAATTCTTTCCTTGCAAGCAATAGGATCCCATATGGATGCTGTTTGTGTCCCAGCTGCTCCACTTCCCTTCCAGCTACTTGCTTGTGGTCTGAAAAGCCACAGAGGATGGGCCAAAGCCTCAGGACCCTGTTCCAACACGGGGGACTTCGGGAAACACTTCAGTGGTGGAATGATGGACCTATGACTGTTCGTGAAGTAGTACCCACAGCAGTACTAGAGCGGAAATCAGCAGGGAGGAGACTTGTGGGGGGAACGGGAGATCCCAGAGCCTATGGAACTGTAACATAATAATAATAATAATAATAATAAATGTGGAAAGGCCATTTTAAAAAATTGAAGCATAGATCTTCCAGACTGAAAAAGTGGCATCCAGGCCTTCAGGACGTGGGCAGAACAGGGAGCTGAGGTGTGAGTCTGCAGCTGCGTGCCACACGTTAGAGCCTCTCCCCGCCCTGTGACACATGCATGAGCAATCCTTATTCTAAATAAGGAATGCTGGCACGTAGAGGATCATCGTGCTCCCAGGTCACACGGACAGCGAATGTTGCGGTCATGACTTGAACCCAGACCCGCAAACTCAACCAGGATCTGCCCTAAGCCAGAGTCTGTAGCTTCTGACTCTGTCCATGAATTGCTGGGAAAAATCCTGACGTGTGAATCACCAAATCAGTGGTCTCATACCATTTAATATGTAAAACTACCTTTTCCATATGAAATTACATGATGCCATTAAATTAAAAACATTTTGATTATGTGATTTTTGTTTTTCTCCTTGGAGTATACAGTATTCTCCAAAATTATAAAGTTCATTCTAAGGTTGTAAAGAGCATAATAGCATTTGCCTTTTTAAAAATCACCTGCTTTTTTAATTCCTCTGAAGGCTATTACATGTACATCGAAGCCTCCCACATGGTGTACGGACAGAAAGCCCTCCTTTTGTCCAGGCCTCTGCGTGGCGTCCCCGGAACACACTGCTTGACCTTCTTCTACCACATGTACGGTGCAGGCACGGGCCTGCTGAGTGTTTATCTGAGAGAAGGAGGAGGCCGTGGAGAGACCCTGCTGTGGAGGAGAAGGGGTGAGCAGAGCATCTCCTGGCTGCGGGCACAGGTGCAGTACAGCGGCCCGAGGCAACACCAGGTAAGCAAGGATATTAGCATAGAGCAGAGGCAGCCAGGCACCTCTGCCTCTCATGTGCTTTGTTCTGCTGGCTTGGGTCAAAGAGAATGCTTTGTTCTTTTTCAGGGTCATGGCCAAAGGCAGGATTCATTTAAGAGCAAGCGTAATTGGTTTAAATATTGATGAAATCTAAGCAGAGAATGAGAAATGGGAAGGCAGAGAGCTTTGGGCATGTAGGCATGAACTGATGGGCACTCATAATCTGACTGTGCTTTTATCTTGATCCATGGTAAATGTAAGCATATTTCCTAGTGTCCTGCAGTCTCTCTTCCCTCTGAACAGGAGATGGTAGCAGCCTCATCAGTTGTTGCAGTACAGCTTTTTTAAAAGGTCTGTTTTATTTTTATTGGAAAGGCAGAGTGACAGCCAGGAGCTGCAGATAGATCTTTCATCTGCTGGTTTACGTCTCGGATGGCTGCAGCTGCCAGAGCTGAGCCACTCCAGAGCCAGGAGCTTTGTGAATCCGGGTGCCAAGAATGTGAGCCATCCTGCTCTCCCAGACATGAGCAGCTGGGGAATGAGCCAGCACCCTTATGGATTGCTGGTGTCACAGCCAGGGGCTTACCTCACTACACCACGGTGCTGGCCCCAGAGCAGCAATTTTTACTCATCTTTGCTTGCATATGGATGGCTTTTGTTTTCAGCCACATTTAGCAGTGTGAGTGGTCCGAGTTGGAGGAAGGTTAATGAGTTGCAAATCCTCTTTTTTTTTTTTTTTTTAGAAGCAGAAAGAGAATTAGAAAGACAGGCTGCTCCGATCCATCTGTTGATTCCCTCCGCAAGTGCTGCAGCTGCTAGCACTGGGCCTGTGTGTGAGCCAGAAGCAGGAGCCGCAGCTGCTAGCACTGGGCCTGTGCGTGAGCCAGAAGCCGGAGCCGCAGCTGCTAGCACTGGGCCTGTGCGTGAGCCACTTCCCCCAACCTAACGTAATCTCCCATAGATCGAATGAGCAGGGTGTTGGAATGCTGTCCCACCAGGGTGTGGCATTACTAAAGCACGCAAGTACCACCATGATCCGGAAAGGGACTGTCCCCTTAGCATGTATAAAATGTTGAGAAATTTAGTGAATACTAACAGAGAACCCCAGCAATGATTTTGACAGTGATTTAATGTCTGTTTGCAGAAAGTAAGTGAATCACTCAGTCATTTGGAAAGGATTGATCAATGTCACTAAGTTATGGGAATTCACGTATCTAAGTATCTAAGTACTGACTAGGTACTGGCATACCAACGGTGGCTACGATGGAGATTCGTAGGTTCTGCCTGGAACCACCCTGGATCCCCAGAAGTCTGTTTCAATAATCTCTCTGGGTGATTTTTTTTGTCTGCTAATGACAGTCCTTGCTGCTAATATACACGAATCTGGCCCTTTGGGAATGGTGCCTCAACACAGGGGCGGCTGTGTTGGGTCCAAGTAAGTTCATATCACCTAAACCCTGGAGATGAGGCCCAGGGCCTTTCTCATTTGGAACTTGCCAGGTAGCTGGTCATTAGAGATGTTTTTCAGTGCACAGTGTTGAGGTATAGAGTGTGGCATGGAGGCGGGTGGTCCTTGAAATTAAAAGTTACACAGAAAGGCCTGGGGGATTTCAGCACAGTCTGGAAGGAAGACTCTAGCTTGTTGCCTTTGACTTAGAACAACACGAGAGACTAAGGATGAGCAGAGTTGAGCTCATAAAAGTAGAGTAAAATTATGGGTGCTAGGGCCCGGCTCAGTGGCCTAGTGGCAAAAGTCATTACCTTGCATAAGCCCGGATCCCATATGGGTGCCGGTTCTACTCCCAGTGGCCCCACTTCCCATCCAGCTCCTTCTATTGTAGGCCCCGTCTGTCTGTCTCAGGACCTTGTTCTGCCTTCTTGCCGCTTGGCATGGGTTCTTGTTTGGAGTTGTGTGATCCATTAGGATTCTTCAGTTTAGACAGGCAGATGGATAAGAGGGTATTTACTGTGTAAACTGTCTCCTGTGACTATGGAGGCTGGAGCATCAAAGAAGCTGGAAATGTTAACTCAGTCCAAGTTCAAAGCCCGAGAACTCCTGGTTCCTAGGGCCAAGGGTGTAACTCTTAATTGAGGCCAAAGCCTGGGGAAACGGGAGGACCTTTGACCAAGGCCTGGAGGCTGAGAGCAGGACTGCCTGGCGTTCTGCTGTCAGCCTCACAGGTGGGGGCCAATGAGCTTCTCCTCGGCCGTGATGTTCTGTTCAGACCTTCGACTGACCGAGAGGTTCCTATGCCCGCTGGGCCAGGACCTTAGTGCACTGCTTCAAGTGCCAGCCTCTTCCGGAAGCACCAGAGCTGATGCTGCCACAGGTGCAGGTGCCCCCTAGCCCGACGGACACCTCAGATTCGTCTTCACAATCTGTGTCCTTGGAATTTTTATTAATGTTATTTCCCTACTCTTTGAATCATTATTTTCAAAGTGATTTCATAAACTTGTTAATTATTGAATTGGCATTTTGTATTTAATATGTCGGTAAATGAAATTGGCGTAAGGCTTTCTTTTTTAATTTAAATTATAAACTGGTCCAATGGAGATCTCTTTGCTCATGAAATGAGTGCAGTGACTGTGTCTTTGGGACGGTTTCCATAACCCACAAGCCTCCCCAGCATATCAGTAGCTTATTAAGCACCGAAGGGGCAGCTTTAGAGCTTTCCTTAGTATGCTTTTCCTAGTCCGAAGTATTCAGTTATTTTCTTCTTAAATCATAAAATCGATCCCCGCCTATCTGTCTTTGTTGTTGTGAGTTTAACAGGACGAGAGGACCGTTGCCTCTCCACTCGCTTTGCTGCCCTGCCTGCAGCTGAGTGTGGTCAGGGACATCGCACAGCTAGCACTGCCCGGGAAGCTTGGTCTGTGCACTCGGGCCAGTGCCGGAGAAGGTTTCTAATGGGCAGGGGACCAGGCCGCCCGCAGGAAGCACTTCTAGGCGTGCTGCTGGGAGACCCTGAAGGAGACCTCGTGGAAAGGGACTTGACTCTGACGCCTCAGTGACTTACTGTGAGCTTCCAACAGGCCACGTATCCTCTTCCCAACGTAAATGTCACTCTTTCGTTGCATGGCCTTTACCTGAAGAGAAGGGCTCCCAAAGCCTCCGGCCGCCTGAGCGCCATGGTTTTACCAGACGACTCTGTTTCTAAATTCTAACTTCAGATTTCATCCTTTTTCAGATCATTTTTGAAGCCATTCGAGGAATGTCCATAAGAAGCGATATTGCCATTGATGATGTTAAATTTCAGGCAGGACCCTGCACAGGTAATAATATATATGCATATGGATATGGATTAAAATTTATTTTTGGTCTCTAATATGCAAATTAGACATTTTTCTATAAGCAAAATGGATAAAACTGTTGCGTCTTTGTCTCCTTCCAGAAATGGAGGCTACAGTTCAGCAGTCATCAGGGTACTCTGAGGACTTGAATGAAATTGATTATTAAGAATTCATCGGAACTAGATTGACAATGCAAATAAATCATACCTCTCTTCAGTGAAAATGAAAAGAAAGCAAGTGAATACTGGGCAGTCGGGACCGTTTCACAACTTGTGAAATGACATTAAGGCACCCTTCTTCGTTACTTTTGCAAACAAAATCCTGACTCAGGGATTTTTTCTTTTTCTTTTTGCATTTGACAACTGTTACTAGAAATACAGGCTGCTGGTTTTGTATACATCTTTTATAATTTTGGTACCAGGTAAAAGCATAAATGCACTATGCTATTGTCATTTTAAATATATAAACAAAGGGCACAATCAAAATTATAAGTGCTCACTTAAATCTGCATTCAGTGAATGTACTGGAAGAGAATGGGACTTGTGCATTGCCTTTTGAATTTCAACTGTCAAAAGTATTTTTGAAGTAAGCAGTGTGGAGTGTCAGATCTGCAGAATGAATGCGTGTTCACTAAAGTTTTGGAAAATAAAGTCTTATTTCCTGTTTGATTCATAGAAATGGTAGGTTGGTTTTTCACCAGATGTTGTAACGGAAGCTGTGTTATGAACGTCCGGGGTGTGTTGGTCCACACTGAACTCCAAGGGAACGCGGGTCTTGAGTTTTTGCCTTGAACTCCTTTGAAAGTCACTGTGAGCACATGGCTACGAATTGCACTCTTTTTTTGTAAAGCAAGCTTGAAAATGTGTATGTGCACACACAGGTAGTTTTTATAAGCTTTAAAGATTTTACTTTTTTATAATAAATGATTTGGTAAATTTTTGAATAATATAAATTTAAACAGACATACTAAACTACTGCTTTTTATTTACATGTTTAGAAAATTGTATATATGTGCATGAGATAACTATGGAATTGTAAGATTAGCTAATAAGAAGTCTTTTGAAATAAATTCTACACTGCATAACTGTGTCATCTAATTTGAATCTCTGCCACAATAAAATGCTTCTTTGCCCCTTTTCTGTGCAGACATTGGCACAAAAAATACGTTTTAAAGACGATTTCATTTCACATGCGCTGGCTCAGATTTGCTCCTGAGTTTATTTCATTGGGACATCAACTCTCTGAGGGCAAGGACTCGTGCTGTTTTATTTTCCAGATTCAGATAAGGTCTGGTGTGTAGTAGAGACTCAACAAGAAGATATGGCTGAACCAACTCCTGTCAGCTTCCCGAGTCCCTTGAGATAAAAACCTTTCTAGTCCGATTCACAGACAGCGTGCAGATTAGGTTGGCATAGGTGCTCAGGACTCAGCTTTCCTCACCCGGAACGCCTCCGAAGGAGGGCCTGGCTGGCCCCAAGTCCACTCTTCTGGTCAAGTTGGAAGCTTTCCCATCACAGTGGAAAACAAAAACAAAAATCCTCTAAGTGAACCTGTTGAGGGCATTCCACCTCTCCGAAATATTACTTTGAAAACAAAAATAGGGGCCTGGCGCGGTGGCGCAAGTGGTTAGGTCCTCGCCTTGCACGCCCGGGATCCCATATGGGCGCCGGTTCTATGCCAGCAGCCCCGCTTCCCTTCCAGCTCCCTGCCTGTGGCCCGGGAAAGCAGTCGAGGACGGCCCAAAGCTTTGGGACCCTGCACCCATGTGGGAGACCCGGAAGAGGCTCCTGGCTTCGGATCGGCATAGTATCGGCCATTGCGCTCACTTGGGGAGTGAATCATCGGAAGGAAGATCTTCCTCTCTGTCTCTCCTCTCTGTATATCCTCCTTTCCAATAAAAATAATAATAATAATAATAAATATTCAACTACCCAAATCAATATCCTGAGGTTTACGGAACTAATAAATTTTGCAATAAAAATGAAAAGATGTGAATCAAATCTTTTTATTCATCGTGTCTCATTTTGCAGAGAAGATCACTTCCTAAACGGAGTTGGGACATCAGGAAAGCAGGATTTCAGGACGTTGGCCAATCCAGCAGCTCACCAGCTACCATCATTCCTTCGAGGCGTTATTCTTCCTAGAGATACGGCTGCATTTTCTGATTCGAAAATGAAGACACGTCCCTAGGACTCAAGTCGATGCCTCACATAGATATAATCAGCAAGTTATGTGGCGAATGAGTCTTCTAATATAAACAGTGATTTGGGGTCCCCGCGACGGAAGCGCTTGTACTATTCTCGTGTAATTTTCCCAGCAACCTTAAGAAGCAGGGCCGGTTTTGCCTCATTTTGTGCTCGAGGGAAAGGGGTGGAAGTGTTAAGTGTTGAATGAAAGGAGGTATTATTATGACTGCCCTTGGTTGCTAAGCAACAACCTGCCGTTCATATAAAAGACAAAAGCGAACTGATTACCTCGCCTTCCCTCGTGAGGCGGGATCCATTTTTCTGAAGCTCGCCTTCCCTTCCGGTTGCCTTTAGCATTTATTTCCACGGTTTCACCTGGATGAAACGTGGTGGGCGGTAAACACAGCACAGGATTCTAGGGTTGGAAGTGCGGGAGAGGAAGGCACAGAAGCTCAGACTGCTCACCAGTCCCAGCCCAGGGCTTGCGTTTCTGTAATTCTCACCAGCACTGAATACACGCGCTTCAAAGTCTTGATTCTCACACATCTTGCTCTCTCTCCTCTAATTTGCTGTCCAGAAAGAGCCGACTCAGGTTCAGTAGTGAGGAAAGGAGTAGCTATGGGGAATGTGCATCAGATTCGGGCTGGTTTTGAATACGCAAGTAGAAACAGTTTGGCAAGGCGTTCTTAACAATCCTGTGCTCCTGGTGGCAGTCTATGCATAAAGATTGCAAAGAAGCTCACAGGTTTGTAAGGAAAATAGAGCCAGAAATCAGCCCACCCAGTTCAGACTGCCCCGCGCACACCTATGTGCAGGCTGTTAGACGGAGACCTCAGAGGGCGTGACTTTGTCCCTGCAGCCTGGGGACGGCAGCGAGAGCCGGCAGCTAGCCAACAACGCTTCATGTCTTGGTGCCTTGGGTGTGCGAAGGCCTGGGCTCTGGGACGCCTGGTTCTTGTGCAGGGGACTTGTTTCTCTGTGCGGTTTCCCCATGACTGCAGGACAGGGTGCAGGGAGGAGTGGGCTCGTCATGCCGATTGCAATGGCACTGTGTTTCCAACATGTGCAGGACTATCCGGAGGTGATGCAGCGAAGCCACTTATGAGATGTGTGGGGAGAGCCAGTCACTCCCCCCCTCAAGTCCTTTCCCTCGTGCACAAAATGAGGCAAAACTGGCCCCGTTTCTCAAGGTTGCTGGGAAAATCACACAAGTACTTCCGTCTTAGGGACCGCAAACCACTCAATTTATAATAGAAGACTTCAGCGACATTTCAGATGGATCTTGGTTATTTTTATGTATTCTTCTGCTACAAATGAATTATGAGTTAATAGTGCCATCTTAAGGATGATGCGGCCCCATGATCTTGTCAATTTGTCATCTTTTTCACGTCTAGCAGCGCGGGACCTATTGACCCCTTGCTGGACATTGCGTCCTGCTCGGTCCCTCTGAGCTGTGCGCCCCGCGTGCGCGTTCGCACCAGGAGCCAATCCCACACACCCAAGTCCTGGTTTGCATTTCATCTCTCAACAATGACCACCTGTTTGGTGTTCCACCGCCTCTCACACAACTGCCTAACACACAGCTGTGTGCAGCGAACATAGTCATATGTGGACGAGTAACTTTTTAAAAGTAACTACTAGGAAAAAGGTAGAAGAAATATCAGATGGTTAACTTTATTTTTTGAGTCACACAGAGAGGGGAGGCCACAATGCTGGCTCACTCAAGTGCCTGAAAGCAGGGGCTCAGGGGTGCAATGCCACGGGCGGCGTGGGTCAGGGCGATGCGGCTGCTCAGCCAGGCGAGCACCTGCCGCGCGGTGTACCCTAGGAACGTACAGCAGTGGCTGTTGTCTCTGCTTTGGGATCCTTCCATTTTCAAACTTCTTAAACACGGTCATGAAAATGCAAAATGCACTCCGTTAACGAAACTGCTGGCCACCGATGAGAGCTTGTGGCACGGAGACACTGAAGCCAGCGAGGCACACGCCAGCCGAATCCCGCGTGTGCCATCACGCTGGCACACGGAGGGGCTCCTTTATAAAGGACGGCTCGTTCGCCAGCCCGGCAGTTACTTTATTTTTTAAATCACGCGGCGAGAGGCCGAGGCGAGGAGGCCGCGCAGTCGCCGCCCCGTCTGGGCCTAGCGCCAAGCCCTGACTGACACAGACATGGAGTCCCGCGGCAGGCCAGCTTCTCCCTGAGCCGGGCACGGCGGCCACGCGGGAGCGAGGCCCGGGAGCGCCTCCGCGGCCTTCTAGAACCAAGCCCACAGCCCTGCCCTGACGAGGTCGCCCTCAGCACTTCCGGACGCTGCAGAACGTTCTCCGCTCTCAGCCCGTGGCTCCCGCCCTCAGTCCCGCCCCCAGCCCGCGGCTCCCCGCCCTCAGCCCCGCCCTCAGCTCGCCCCAGCCCCGCCCCCAGCCCGCGGCTCCCCGCCCTCAGTCCCGCCCCCAGCCCGCAGCTCCCCGCCCTCAGTCCCGCCTCAGCCCGCCCCCAGCCCGCGGCTCCCCGCCCTCAGTCCGCCTCAGCCCCGCCCTCAGGCCCGCCCCCAGCCTGCAGCTCCCCGCCCTCAGCCCCGCCCCCAGCCCCCAGCTCCCCGCCCTCAGGCCCGCCCCCAGGCCCGCCTCAGCCCGCCCCCAGCTCCGCCCCCAGCCCGCGCCTCCCCGCCCTCAGCCCGCGGCTCCCCGCCTCCAGCCCCGCCCTCAGCCCGCTGCTCCCCGCCCTCAGCCCCGCCCCCCCCCCGCGGCTCCCCGCCCTCAGCCCGCCTCCAGCCCCGCCCCAGCCCGCAGCTCCCCGCCCTCAGCCCCGCCCTCAGGCCCGCCCCCAGCCCGCTTCTCCTCGCCCTCAGCCCCGCCCCCAGCCCCCAGCTCCCCGCCCTCAGTCCCGCCCCCAGGCCCACCTCAGCCCGCCTCCAGCTCCGCCCCCAGCCCGCGGCTCCCCGCCCTCAGCCCCGCCCCCAGCCCGCGGCTCCCCGCCCTCAGCCCGCCTCCAGCCCCGCCCTCAGCCCGCCTCCAGCCCCGCCCTCAGCCCGCTGCTCCCCGCCCTCAGCCCGCCCCAGCCCCGCCCTCAGGCCCGCCCCCAGCCCGCGGCTCCCCGCTCTTAGTCCCGCCCCCAGCCCCGCCCCCAGCCCGCGGCTCCCCGCCCCAGCCCCGCCCTCAGGCCCGCCCCCAGCCCGCGGCTCCCCGCCCCCCGTCCGCTGCTCCCCGCCCTCAGGCTGGCCCTCAGCCCTCTGCTTCCCGCCCTTGGCCCCGCCCCCAGCCCGCCTCAGCAGCGCTTTCAGCCCGCGGCCGCCGGGGCGGGGCCGGCCTTGCGCAGGCGCCGTGCGGGCCTCCGGCGGCGTCGCGCGTCAGGCCGTTCGCGCGGGAGCGCGGCGGGCTCGGTGTCTCACTGGGAACGGAAGGCGCGGCGGGGCGCCCCGGGAGCCGGGATGGCGAGCTCCAGCAGCAAGGCGCCCTCCCCGGGCGCGGCGGCCTCCGAGAGCGCTCTGCCCAGGGAGCCGGCGTCCGAGGTGCGGAGCAAGAGAAGGGCCGCCGCTCCTCAGGCGCCGCTGCCGCCGGCGGCCGGGCGTTTCGTGGAAGGCTCCATCGTCCGCATCTTCATGGAGAACTTCCTGTGAGTGGCCGGGCGGCCCGGGGCGCGGGCGGGCCGTGCGTGGGGCCGCAGCGGGCAGGGCCCGCAGTGGGGACGGTTCCCTGGACCCGTCCGAGGCCAGCTGCCCCTGCAGGCCCGCGAGCTGACGTTTGGGGATGGGGAGTGCTGGCGTGCGGCCCCGGCTGGCCTGCCCCGCAGCCCCGGGCTGTGCAGGAGCCGAGGCGGGTGTGCGGTGCACGCAGCTCCGTGCGGACCAGCTCGCGGGAGTTGTGCGTGGGGACGCAGTGGGAGTCAGGAGGGGCCTGTAGCCTCGGCTCTCGGGAGGCGCTGGGCGCATCTCGTCCCTCCTCGGACAGAGCTTTGGGAAGCAGGGGTAGAAGTCTTCGGTGTCGCAGGCCCGGGTTGAGTTGGTGTCGGGCGATCACTAGGGCTGCATGGTGGCTGTCAGTGCGTGTGGACGGACTGTGCGCGAGCCCTGAGCCCAGGGCCTCCAGCGGAGAGTGGCGGGGTTCCTGATCCCCTGGGAGCAGGGAGGAGGACCGCCTGGCAAGCACGCAGGCCCCGGGGACACGGGCAAGAGGAGAGTTTGCACAGAGCAGAAGGTGAAAGGAAAGAGGCTGTGTAAAGATGCATTCTAATACTAAATGGTAAGGTACTGTGCCGAAGGCGGGCGCTTTCAGCAGAATAACGCATACCTTGTAGTCCCTGTGACTTGGAAGTTACCTGTGGGACTTCTGCGAGTTTTTCCCAGAAGGAATTACAAGGGTCAGGAACTCGGAAGAAAAGTCCATCGGTGAGAGGTTTGGTAATCGTGCACGTAGGGTAATTGTTGGCACTGCAGAGCTGGGGCTGCCCTGAAAGAGATGTCAGTAGGGGATGGGAGGGCGTGTACAGTTCCCAGGGGGTGTCCACTGCCAGTGGGGGGTGGGAGGTGGTGTATAGTCCCCGGAGGTGTCCACAGGCAGTGGCGGGTGGGAGGTGGTGTACAGTCCACAGGCAGAGGGGGGTGGGAGGTGGTGTACAGTCCCCGGAGGTGTCCACAGGCAGTGGGGGGGTGGGAGGGCGTGTACAGTCTCGGGGGGGGGTGTCCACGGCCAGTGGGGGGTGGGAGGTGGTGTACAGTTCCCGGAGGTGTCCACAGGCAGTGGCGGGTGGGAGGTGGTGTACAGTCCACAGGCAGAGGGGGGTGGGAGGTGGTGTACAGTCCCCAGAGGTGTCCACAGCCAGTGGGGGGTGGGAGGTGGTGTACAGTCCCCGGAGGTGTCCACAGGCTGTGGGGGGGTGGGAGGGCGTGTACAGTCTCGGGGGGGTGTCCATGGCCAGTGGGGGGTGGGAGGTGGTGTACAGTTCCCCGGGGGCGTCCACAGCCAGTGGGGGTGAGTGTTTGGCCAACACCGGGTCCTAGGTTGATGTCACATACAGGACACCCCGCTGCCTTGGGCCGCCAGCTGCTGAGCAGAGCAGGAACTTTATTTAAAGGCTGGGAGGTGGAGGAGGTGGAGCGGTGTGGGGAGTGAAGGTCAGCCATCCAGTGGAGAAAAAGTTGACGCTTGGCAGGAGAGAAGTAGGGCAGGGGTGGGCTTAGAGAGAATTAGCAAGAAAGTAGAAAGAGCAGGAGGGCTGGGGGAGGGTCCAGTGAGGGCAAGGTTGCTGGGAGTGAGCCAGGGCAGGTGAAGCTGGGAGAGGAGGCTGCTGGGTGAGGACAGACTGCAGGGAAAGGCCAGAAGCACAGGTGACACCGGGGCCGAAAGTGACAGGACAAGAGCACTGTGCGGAGACAAAGCAGAAGATCCTTGGGGGCAACATTACCAAGGATCCTTGTTCCAACTCAGCATCTTCTGTTACCGAGTGATACTTGCATTTGTGCCAACTGAGTTAGTGTGATGAGATGGTGTCATTGATTGGACGGTGGGTGATTGATCTGATTAGAGGCAAAAGAGGACACAGGCCTGCCTGGGATTCTGATCGGAGTGATGGGGCTGTGAGTGAGCCCAGACACCGAGAAGCCAGGGACAGTGCTTTGGCCGGGAGGGTGACGATGGTGGATTTAGTTCTGAATGTGCTAGGGTGACTGCTGTGCCACATCCAGGAGCGGTGTTGAGGCGGAGTGACACTGACTTGAGGAGGTCGTCTGACTCCTTTCCAGTGTGTGGGTTCTGCTGAGCCATGGGGAGCACCCAGGCGCCCAGCAGGGGTGTGCTGTGAGAAGGGAGCACTCCCGGGAGCTCAGGGAGGTGGGGGTTTGGCACTAAGAATTCCTTAGAAAGGGATGGTTGAGTCAGGAGTTGATTGTCAGGTCATTTCCCAAAGTTGTAGTCATTACAATAAAGGATGCTTAGTGACTGAGCACCCAACAGAACAAGTGTCTGAAAGCGGGTCGTTGCTGTGTAGACAGTGGGACTAGAGGACCTTCCCCTGGAGTTACTTTCTTACCCTTGATGCATTTCAGAATGGTCACCGTTCAGAAGTGTGGTTGATGCGTGCTGGCTCAGTTGTCTGGGCATTAGTCCTGGTGCCACCGAGCACTGGCTGAAGTACTATAGGCACAGCGCGTTAGTTTGGGTTCCAACCCGGGGTCTTTAGACCTAAGAGAGCTTCCTTCACATTCTGCCGAAGGCCTTGGCAGCTAGGCAGGGTTTCACGTGAAGTGCCGGCAGCGGGCACCTGGAGGCCCCGGGGCTACCTCAGAGTGCCCTGGCAGGAAGTTCCTTCTCGCTCCTGCGAGTGAAATCGAGCTCCGTGTGGACCGGCGCTAGGTTCTCTGGTGACACTATTGGCAGCATGGAGTCTTCATGTCACCTTGAGTTGATACATAGCTTCCTTTTTCTGTTTGAAATAAAAGTGGTTGGATTGTTTCAACTGTTAGAATATGTAAGCAGCCGATAAGCATTCTGATGGAAAAACCCACAGATGTCAGATAAGCCGTAACTGCTTGTGTGAAGATTGTTTTAAAATTGTCTTATTTGTGTAGTGATAACTTGATAAGTTATAAAAATGCATCTTCACTCACTGCAGTTTATATTTTTGATATTTGATAATTACTTTCTCATTTCTTTCACTGACTTTCTCATCGTAGATTGTAAGCGCCCTTGAGCTGGATTTGAAAGGAATTTGAGATGCTGTAGATGATGAAGAGAGCTTGATAAGAGATGATAAGATGTAAAGGGCACACTCTTATCTCTGTTTAATAATTTCACATGTTTGTAATTTAGAACATACGATGCCTGCGAAGTGTCTCCCGGACCCAACTTAAACATGATCGTTGGAGCTAATGGAACAGGAAAGTCGAGTATTGTTTGTGCCATTTGCCTTGGACTAGCAGGCAAACCTGCTTTCATGGGACGGGCAGATAAGGTGAGTTAATTTAAGTACCTAAAAAATAAACAGGTAAAGTTGTTGCTTGTCTTTAGCAGCCAACGCGTTTCTATTTCTCAGTTACTGGCTTACAGTGAGGTTGTAGTGGTTGTGTAGAAGCAATGTGACAGTGGAGGAGCTGAAAGCAGATTTCCATTCCTGGAACTATTCTGGACTGTATTCCTTGAGAATCTTTATAAGGATAATTTGATGGGCCACCTCTGTGGTGCAACGGGTAAGTCCACTGCCTGCAATGCTGGCATCCCAGATAGGCATCGGTTCGTGTCCTGGCTACTCCACTCTGGTTGCGCTCCCGCTGATGGCTTGGGAGAGCAGCAGAGGACGGCCCACGTCCTTGGGCCCCTGTGTCCACGTGGGACACCTGCAGGAAGCTCCCGGATCGGCTCGGCTGCTGCCGCTCGGGCCATTTGGAGAGCAAAACAGCCGGGGGAAGACCTCTCACTCTGCTTTCTGTAGCTCTGCCTGCACAATAAAAATAAACAAATCATAAAATGAAGAAGCAAATGTAAATCCTTTGAGGGAAAATACCTCTAATCTAATCCTCATTAGTTCCGAGAAATACATACAGTATTTATAGTATATATAATAGTCTGTACCTACAGCAAGTCGCAAAACATGAGAGAAAAATGAATCAGCTGAATAGCAGCAGGCGCCAACAGACTGCAGATCGGCAGAGCTCAGACACGTAGTGTAAGCTAAAAGAACATTGCAAGTTAACAGGAATAAATGGCAAATGAAGAAATTTGGAAAAGAATGTAATTAACTTTAAAATATAGAACTTGAAGAGCAAGTTAGTGGAGAGGTAAAGCATTAACATAGACACTTGAGATCATCGATATGCTAAAATACAGGTAAATCGCAGTGTGGAGAAAATGTAGTACAGCAGTCAAGCGCATGCAAAGGAAGATAAGCTGATGTAAGAAGCTGCAGTCCGGAGGGGATCGCGGGCTGAGGGCTTGACAGTGCGCCTGGCAAGGGGGACCAGTGGAGACACTTGAATCCTCAGATCCTAGAAGCCTTATGTGTCCAAGACAGGATTCAAACAGGAAATCCACAGACACCTTCTACTGTAACCTCCTCCCTGAATGCAAACCTGGGAAGGAAGAGGAACAAAGGCGGAACTGCAGCTACAGAAGGGAAAGGACCAGGAATGGCGGAAGGCAGCTCGCTCAGGGGCCGGAGGGGTGTCTGCTGGAATCTGCGTCTCTCCAGTCCTGTGTCTAAGGCGGGGTGCCAGTGCTTGTGGTTACACGTGTCCTGCGTGCCGTGGGTCACCTCCATTTACAGGCTGAGTGCGATGGCGTGTCCTAGAACTAGTCTTGCAGTATTGTTTAGGGGAACGATGGGAAGGAAAAATGTATGTGTTCCAAACATAGGCAGGTTTTTCCACGTGATTTCCGTCTTCATTAGTTTTGAATGCATGGATGCTGAGCTCATGGATACTGCTGGCTAAAATCTGAAAATTGTAATGAGGAGATAATGGATAGGTAATTGCAGTGGGAGAGCTGCCAGCAAGGTAATCAATAGATCGGTTGGAGAAGAACTGACCTCAGAGCACCTGAATAACACAGTTAAGTGTAGGGAACATGTTATAAAAGTGCATTCAGCAACTAGAAACCACACATTATTTATATCTTTCTAAAAGATTTATTTTTGTTGGAGAGGGAAATCAGATTTACAGAGAGGGGAGACAGAAAGATCTTCTGTACACTGATTCACTCCCCAGGTGGCCGCAATGGTTGGAGCTGAACCAGGCAGGAGCCAGGAGCTTCTTTCAGTCTCCCACACAGGTGCAGGGTCCCAAGGCTTTGAGCCATCCTGGACTGCTTTCCCGGGCCACAAGCAGGGAGCTGGATGGGAAGTGGAGCAGCCAGGATTAGAACTGGCGCCCGTATGGGGTTCTGGCAGTTGCGGGGGAGGATTAGCCCATTGAGCCATCTCACCAGGCCCTATCTATTATTTCTAAACACAAAAGGACTCAGCCATAAAGTATCAAAAATATTTTTAAGATTTATTTTCATTGGAAAATCAGACATTACAGAGAGGAGAGACAAAGAGGAAGATCTGTCTGCTGATTCACTCCCCAAGCAGCTGCAGTGGCTGGAGCTGAGCCGATCTGATGCAAGGAACCAGGAGCTTCTTCCGGGTCTCCCTCGGGGGTGCAGGTCCCAAGGCTTTGGGCCATCCTCGACTGCTTTCCCAGGCCACAAGCAGGGAGCTGGATGGGAAGTGAAGTATGTGGGACACGAACCAGTGCCCAAATGGGATCCCAGCGCGTGCAAGGCGAGAAATGTAGCCTACCACGTCAGCCCGGTATCACTCCTTTTAAAGTTACTTGATGACAGTTTGTCAGTTGCTAACAGGGTAGTGAGAATGTCCAATGTGTGTGTCTGGAACTGTCTGTGAGGAGGCTTGGCGTGGCACTCAGTGGGTGACGTGCGACGGGGACCGTTGCCCGTAGGGTTTGTTCCTGGAGTCCTTTAGTGTGTTGAGTACACCGACGAGCCAGCTCTCTTGGACTTAGATGCTGTTTCTGCCATCTGTTGGCTTGACCTTGCTCGACAGCTTACCTGACACGTTGAGGTTTCCGGGATTTTGACGAATACTGTTTTTGTTATTTGTGAGGGGGGAAAATGGAAGGAGCACATTTGCAAAGGGTATTTTTGGGGTGTGGCAGGGAACCTAGGAGAAGCTGTTGGGGTGCCCTGGTTTGGCAGGCAGCGCCGGAAGCGTCATCACACTGCTCACTTTTCCCTTTCTTTCTCAGGTTGGGTTCTTTGTGAAGAGAGGATGTCTCAAAGGCATGGTGGAAATTGAATTGTAAGTGGTAAAAGTTCCAAGACACTTTTCCCGTATAATATTGATTTTAGAAATGAATGCTGGTGCAGTATTGTTATAAATATTGGAAATAATGTTTGAACACTTTTTCTAAATAATCAAGTTCTTTCATATATCTTCAAATATTATTTAAATTAGTAAGAATTCTACTTTGGAAAAAATATCAAGCAAATTACAGTTATGAAAAGTAATGAAATAGAAATATACCACTGTTTAGTATTTGTTAAGTTACAATATTTTTCACAAATTTACAATGTTTTTTTCTGATTTTCAAAGTATTATGCCCATTCTTGTGAAAGTGCGGTATAAATGTGCCTGCGGTGGGATGGAGGCTGCCTGGGTGTGACTCTGCTGTGGGTGATGGTGTGGGCACTCGTGTGTAAAAGAACTGGTTGCTTGCTCTTTCTTGTCCCGAGTAACACCTCTGGTGGCCACGACTGTGGCTTTCTCTGGGCCTGCATGGGCTCAGTGGGACCGCTCCTGCGTGGGCTCAGTGGGACCGCTCTTGGGAGCTCTTTCAGGGATCACAGGATAACGTCTGATGAGGCCAGTGGACTGTCCTTGGTAATCCACATGGGAATATATTCATGCTGTTACATGAATTTTAGGCAGAGTTACACTCTCTGGATAATTTATAGGGAGCCATAGGGCTTGTGAGCTGAAAAAGTTTTTTAAAGATTATCTGAGAGCCCTTATTTTATGGGATGTGAGGAAATAGTTTTTATTTTACTATTTTTTAAAATATTTATTTATTTTTATTGCAAAGTCAGATATCCAGAGAGAAGAAAGACAGAAAGGAAGATCTTCCATCCAGTGGTTCACTCCCCAGGTGGCTGCAATGGTTGAAGCTGAGCCAGTCCAAAGCCAGGAGCCAGGAGTTTCTTCTGGGTGTCCCACACGGTGCAGGGTCACAAGGCTTTGGGCCGTCCTCGACCGATTTCCCAGGCTACCAGGAGGGAGCTGGATGGGAAGCAGGGCAGCCGGGGTTAGAACTGGCACCAAATGGGATCCTGGCTCTCGCAAGGCGAGGGCTCGAGGACTTTTTTTTTTTTTTAAGATTTATTTTTATTATTTTTTTATTGGAAAGGTGGATATACAGAGGAGAGACAGAGAGGAAGATCTTCCGTCTGATGGTTCACTCCACAAGTGAGTGCAACGGCCGATACTATGCCGATCCGAAGCCAGGAGCCTCTTCCAGGTCTCCCACATGGGTGCAGGGTCCCAAAGCTTTGGGCCGTCCTCGACTGCTTTCCCAGGCCACAGGCAGGGAGCTGGAAGGGAAGCAGGGCTGCCGGGATTAGAACCAGCGCCCATATGGGATCCCGGGCGTGCAAGGCGAGGACCTTAACCACTTGCGCCACCACGCCGGGCCCAGAGGACTTTTTTTTTTTAATTTATTTTATTTTTATCACAAAGTCAGATATACAGAGAGGAGAAGAGACAGAAAGGAAAATCTTCCGTCCAGTGATTCACTCCCCAAATGACCGCAATGACCGGTGCTGTGCCGATCCTTATCCAGGAGCTAGGAACTTCTTCTAGTTCTCCCACACGGCGCAGGCTCCCAAGGCCTTGTGCAGTCCTCGACTGCTTTCCCAGGCCACAAGCAGGGAGCTAGATGGGAAGTGGAGCTGCCAGGATTAGAACTAGTGTCCATAAGGAATCCCTACGCGTTCAAGGTGAGGACTTTAACTGCTATGCTACCCTTCTGGGCCCTGGTCCGTGTTTTTTAATTGAAGAACTTAGTCCATTTGAATTTAGGTTTAATATGATAAATAATGACTTCATGTTGTCATTTTCTTTTTTTCTTAAAATTTTCGATTTTATTTTTAAATGTTTACATAGTTGAGAGAGATACACAGCTGTGAGGGCCAGATTAGGGTAGGGAGAGTCAGGGTTGGAGGAAGGTGGTGGGATAGAGTTTCAGTTGTTACTATTCTCGGGTTTGCATGAGGCGTAGGGGAGGGAGTTGCTCCTTGCTGTCAAACCACATTAGCACCTGGAGGGGGAGCAGTCATGTGATGACGCCTTAGAGACCCTGATGTGGGGAAGACTGTTCAAGGTGTTGTTTGAGAGGTTTGATAGTTCCAAGAAGTTGTTGGCTTCATTGTACCGGAGTTGAGAAGATCTTTGCAAAGTCTGTTGGCTGGTCAAGTCCACCTTAAGGCATCTGCGGAGCTAGGGACATGCTACAGAGCTTGGCCAGGAGAGTGGTCCAACCTGTTCTGCTTCCCATCCTCTGATGAGGCAGTCAGTGTCCCTTGGTGGCCTAGATTTGTATTTGGTCATTCTGTCCACTGCACAGCATCAGCAACTGAGGAGGCCCCGTCCTGAAACAAACACTACAAGGACAGACACATGTATTGTGATTTTTCCTGTTGTGATAAAAATCACATATATTGTGATTTTTCCTGTTGCCAGGGTTTGAGTCCAATATCTAGTTGGGGAGTTCCCCGAGAAACCCCACCTGGGGTGACCTCTGACTTAACTCTTGTGCACTGGCCAGTGCAGGGTCAGATTGGGTCTGTCAACAGCGCTAGCCAGTGCACATACTTGTCGATGCAGCTGCCTGGTAAGTTCTGCCTTCAGCCCCATCTCTCGTGCCACCTGGCAGGTGCTACAACCAGCCTAGCTCATCCCATCCCTGCCCACCATAGGCCTGGTCCTCACACACACCAGTGCATGGCTGCGGCCTTGTGACTCCCCAAAACTAGGAGTGGGCTAAGCTGTTTCACCTGCTAGTCACCTGCCAGTCATCTGCCAGTCACCTGTGACTTTTCCTTGATGGTGATGAAGGGTAGTTAGACTGTCCACACTGAGCAGCTCTGGGCCTGGCTGCCTTTTCCCGTGGGAATCCTTGTAGTCACCTGTTTGGACAAGTATCCTCAAAGGGGACATCATTCTGGGTCCCCACTGCCAAAAGTCCTCACTTCCATGATTGTTCATGCAAGGATTTATGAAGGTATTTTAATTATTTACAGCAAGAGGATAATAAAGGGTGTTCATCGTTAGTTGTTCTGGAAGTAAAGTTTGTAAGTATTTTGAAGTCCTGACCTTAGTGTGATGTATTCTGAGCACAGTGGAGCCTGTTGCCACAGCATTGCCGTGGAGCCGTTGGGGATCAGTGGTTTATCTCTCCACCACATGCTGATTCCCAGTGAGGAAGATGGGTGAAGAGATGGGAGGTGTGGAGCACTAGCACTTGTAAAAGCAAGAAATCAGTAAATACCCTTCTTTCAGATTCTGTTTTTTGTAATATTCTATTGGCCATGGGGTGAAATTCCTTCTGAATTTGAAGTGGGATACGTAGGCAGCCATGGGGCTGCTTGAGTATTCAGTTTTTTGGAAATGTTTATGCAGGAGTCAGATTTTATTCATATGGTTTCCAACTAGGGGGTGTTTAAAATTATACATCATATTTTTTTAATTGCAGTCAACATATCTGATTGGATAACAGTGTGGTGAAAAGTTACTTTAGCTATGTGACTCCTCTGCTCACGGTTTGGGAATTAGTGCTGGCATTTGTTTTAGTTTAATAATTTAATTTTAAAGGTTGAATAGTAACTGACATGTAGACAATTAAAGTATTATTACTAATAAAATGTCCAGGTTTCCTTCTTGAGAGAGGCCAAAATAGGAAAAGCAAAAGCAAACAAAACCCTACAATAATTCTGTCTGGTGTTTGGTACAAGAGGATTTGGGGAAAATTCTCTCTCTAAACTAACGTGTTTTACGAACATGGAAAAATTTTTGAATTTCTTTCCAATTAGGTTCAGGGCTTCTGGAAATCTTGTAATCACCCGTGAGATTGATGTGACAAAAAATCAATCCTCTTGGTTCATCAACAAAAAACCTACAACCCAAAAAGTAGTAGAAGAGCAGGTCGCAGCCTTAAATATTCAAGTGGGCAATCTCTGTCAGTTCCTGCCTCAGGTACGGTCAGCAGAAATGTGAAGATGAGAAAATTGTATATATAGTGTGTTTTTAAAATACTGTAAAAGAGTCTAAATTGCAATGCTATATAATATAAAAGATCACCTCTTTGGGAAGAAAAAGAGTATGTATTTTTATTTGAAAAGCATTCAGAGAGAAACAGACTTCTGTCTCTGTGTTGACTCTCTACATTCCCTGAAGGACTGATGGAGGAGAAGCTGGGATGTGGGAGCTCCCTGCAGGCCCAGGAGGACAGATGGAGGAGAAGCTGGGATGTGGGAGCTCCCTGCAGGCCCAGGAGGACTGTTGGGGGAGGAGAAGCTGGGATGTGAGAGCTCCCTGCAGGCCCAGGAGGACTGATGGAGGAGAAGCTGGGATGTGGGAGCTCCCTGCAGGTCCAGGAGGACTGATGAAGGAGAAGCTGGGATGTGAGAGCTCCCTGCAGGTCCAGGAGGACTGATGGAGGAGAAGCTGGGATGTGGGAGCTCCCTGCAGGTCCAGGAGGACTGATGGAGGAGAAGCTGGGATGTGAGAGCTCCCTGCAGGTCCAGGAGGACTGATGGAGGAGAAGCTGGGATGTGGGAGCTCCCTGCAGGTCCAGGAGGACTGATGGAGGAGAAGCTGGGATGTGGGAGCTCCCTGCATGCCCGGGAGAACTGCTGGAGGAGAAGCTGGGATGTGGGAGCTCCCTGCAGGTCCAGGAGGACAGATGGAGGAGAAGCTGGGATGTGGGAGCTCCCTGCAGGCCCAGGAGGACTGATGGAGGAGAACCTGGGATGTGGGAGCTCCCTGCAGGCCCAGGAGGACTGATGGAGGAGAAGCTGGGATGTGGGAGCTCCCTGCAGGCCCAGGAGGACTGATGGAGGAGAAGCTGGGATGTGGGAGCTCCCTGCAGGCCCAGGAGGACTGATGGAGGAGAAGCTGGGATGTGGGAGCTCCCTGCAGGTCCAGGAGGACTGATGGAGGAGAAGCTGGGATGTGGGAGCTCCCTGCAGGCCCGGGAGGACTGATGGAGGAGAAGCTGGGATGTGGGAGCTCCCTGCAGGTCCAGGAGGACTGATGGAGGAGAAGCTGGGATGTGGGAGCTCCCTGCAGGCCTTCCCCACTGGTGCCTGTGACTCGGCCACCTGGCGCAGTTGCCTCCCAGGGATGCCTTGCAGAAAGCTGAAGCTGGAACCGTGTGGCTGAGTACGCGCTGCTGAGCCTGCATTCTTGCACTGGCTCACCTCACGGTTCTTTGCCACCTGCAGCAGGTCGCTCTCCCAGTGGAATGTTCCTGATTAGGAGTAGTACAGAAGACTAATGGAGTCCAGGTTAGACATTGTATGATTGTTAGAGAGTTTCTCAGATAACCGTGTCCTTCCATTTGTAAACTCTTACAGTTTTGTTACTAGCTTTTTAGTTAAAGTACTTGCATAAGGTACTTGATACATAAAATTTGTAATTATACATATACTCTCAAAAATTGTCCTTTAATACTGTTTACTAAAAATTAAAAATCCTGATAATGAATGTTAAGTGATATGCCAAAGATTGCTAAATTGTCTTTGAATGCTTCCATTAACCAAATTATAGCTTGATTTAGAAACAGAATAGTGAATTGATTAAATGTCCAAATTGAATGCAAATGTAAAACTTGATAATACTTCCAGAAGTAGAAGTTTGAAATGACTTTTTTGCTTAAAAAGCTTCAAACAGCCAGTCTGATGTGTGGTGGTGTTCATTTCAGCCCCGTAATTATGTCTTCCTGTGTGCTAAAACTGTTTATTATGTTACTCTATGTATATAACCATTTCAACTGGTAAATGTTAATGTAGAGCATTTTAATGTGTTTCACAAAAGTGGTAGTTTTTATCCTGTTTATAAAACATTTATGTGAAGATTGATATCTCATGTCTTTTGGGAGGAGTTCCATGCTTGTAAGTGTGTAATTGAGTGAAATACCATGTATAAATATAGGTGATAATAGTTACTGGTGCTAATTTTTGCTCTAGGACAAAGTTGGAGAATTTGCTAAACTTAGCAAAATTGAGCTCCTTGAAGCCACTGAGAAGTCCATCGGCCCCCCGGAGATGCACATGTACCACTGTGAGCTCAAGAACTTCCGGGAGAAGGAGAAGCAGCTGGAGGTGTGTGCCGCTCGAGCTGCTGGCGTGTGGCGGATGGGGAGCCGTTCCCGTCACTATGCTGTTTATGCTGCTGATTCTGTTTCTACTCAGGGTTGTATTGCCTGCTCTCAGTTATTTTTCTTGGAAAGGCAGATTTACAGAGAGAAGGAGAAAGATCTTGCGTCCACTGGTTCACTCCCGAAGTTACTGCATCAGCCAGAGCTGAGCCAATCCAAAGCCAGGAGCCAGGAGCTTCTTCTGGGTCTCCCACATGGGTTAGGGTTCTAAGGCTTCGGGCCATCCTCTGCTGCTTTCCCAGGTCAGGGGCATGGAACAGCTGGGACATGAATTGGTACCCATATGGTATCCTGGCACATATAAGGCATGGGTTAGCCATGGGAACATTGCATAGGGTTTCATTAATTGAATTTCTAAAGTCAATAACTGGGCCTGGTACGTTAGCGTAGCGACTAAAGTCCTTGAGTCCTTGCCTTGCCCGAGCCGAGATCCCATTTGGGTGCCAGTTCTAATCCTGGTGGCCCAGCTTTTCTTCCATCTCCCTGCTTGCGGTCTGGGATAGCAGTCGAGGACAGCCTGAATGAAGCCTTGGGACCCTGCACTCGCATGGGGGATCTGAAAGAGGCCCCTGGCTCCTGGGTTTGGATTGGTGCAGCTCCAGCCATTGCAGCTGCTTGGATGGAACATCTTCTTCTCTGTATATCTGGCTTTCCGATAAAAACAGTTTTTTTAAAAAAAGCCAATTACAGTGTAAGTTTTTTTGTACCAGAAAGTTACAGGATTCTTACTCATTGACTTCCTGTTTCCTTTAGTGATCATATGTAGATAACACGTTTCTTTTCATAGAATGCTGTTTGTAAAAAATTCATGTTTGTGGATCTTGTTGTTGTTTGTCTTAACAACTAGAATTAACTCATGAAATCTTCATAACAGATCCCTTGTTGAAGTATAAACGGTTATACTCTTGTTATACAGGATATACTGGGCAGTTTATTACACAGGTTATGCTATTAATTATGTAAGATGTAATTGCAGTTTGTTATTGTACTTACTCAGGGTTGGTGACCAGAGCAGCTGCTCGAGATCTTCACGAAGATCTGGTCCTACATCTGATGCCCGTCCTGTGCCAGCCTGTGACCCCCACCTTGTCCACTGTGTCATCTGATGTCTGTCCTGTGCCAGCCTGTGACCCCCACCCTGTCCACTGTGTCATCTGATGTCTGTCCTGTGTCAGCCTGTGACCTCCTCCCTGTCCACTGTGTCATCTGATGTCTGTCCTGTGCCAGCCTGTGACCCCCACCCTGTCCACTGTGTCATCTGATGTCTGTCCTGTGCCAGCCTGTGACCCCCACCCTGTCCACTGTGTCATCTGATGTCTGTCCTGTGCCAGCCTGTGACCCCTGCCCTGTCCACTGCGTCATCTGATGTCTGTCCTGTGCCAGCCTGTGACCTCCTCCCTGTCCACTGCGTCATCTGATGTCTGTCCTGTGCCAGCCTGTGACCTCCTCCCTGTCCACTGCATCATCTGATGTCTGTCCTGTGCCAGCCTGTGACCTCCTCCCTGTCCACTGCGTCATCTGATGTCTGTCCTGTGCCAGCCTGTGACCTCCTCCCTGTCCACTGCGTCATCCGCAGATTCTCCTGCATTTGTACTGCGTCATCCTCAGAGTCTCCCGCGTTTGTATTGCTGACGCACAGGAGAAAGCCTGTAGGCTTTAGCCATGTCGTCTTGTTTCTAAGTCCTCAGGTCTGAGGTCTTTGTAATGTCATAGTGACATTTCATTTGCTTTGACCGGAGGAGTTGATTTGCCTCTCCCAGAAGTGCACGGACAGAAACCTTCTTCACGGGGAGAGTCGGCTCTCTGTCATAGGGTCTCCTCCGTCACGTGCCTGGGAGTGCATGAGAAAGCCGATGCATGATTCAGGTGTGACGCCTTTAAACAGTTCCCGACAACCCAAAGGGAAGCCTTTGCTGGGATTTTTTTTTTTTTTTTAAGATTTTGTTTGCTGCTGACTCACTTCCTGCATTGCTGTGGCTCCTGTACCTGGGCTGGCCAGGGAGGCAGGCATCAGGAGCTGCTTCTGAGTATGCCATGTGGTGCAGGTGCCCAGGGCCGTGGGCCAGAAGCAGGCAGCTGCTTCAGAAGTAGGGCAGTTGGGACCTGAGCCGCCTCCCGTGAGGGACGACCAGTGTGCTGTGCCACCACGCTGGCACTGTTTTCAGAGTTTACCAACATTGTGCACGTTTCATTGTTAAAAGCATGCGACATGTTGTCTTCTTTAAACTAATAAGTCATCAAATATTCATTTTAGACAACATGCAAAGAGAAAACTGAGTATCTAGAGAAGATGATCCAAAGGAATGAAAGATACAAACAAGATGTGGAAAGGTTTTATGAACGGAAACGACATTTAGACTTAATTGAGATGCTTGAAGCAAAAAGGCCCTGGGTGGTAAGTATTAAATTATTAGAAACAAAAATAGGTGATTCTTTTAAGTCGTAGAATGATTGTAAAGAGTGCACTCGTTACTACATATATTGAAATTTGATGTCTTTGCATTTTTTCTTAATATGTCGAGGCAGTTAAATTTGTATTTCTCTTACTCTGTTTGATTACATAGCTGTGCACTAGTTACTGTCCCTAACAGATCATAGGTCGGTCACTATGCTGATTCTGCCAGATGTAATCAGCTCTTTGTTTTCTCAGTTGCCAGTGGTCTGCAGGATGGGTTGTTGGGAATTCTCTGCCACATCAGGAGGATTTCTGCAGGCTTTCCTGCAGGTGCAGCTGCTGTCTGAGCTGGCGCCTTTCACGCGCTGTGTGCCTCTCGGCACGCTGCTCAGCTCTTTCCCATCCTCAGGCATGTTTTATTATTTGAGATCATGATTAAGACTAAAGATTCAGTTCTCTAATGCGTTCCTTTCTCTAATAGGTGAGATGTAATAGGTTAGGATGTTTTATAGTTATGGATTGCCAGGTTAAAGTGGAAATCATTATTAGGTTGGAAAGCCATGTGACTGTCACATTCTAACCTTTTTCTTCTTTATCCTGTTCCATATTCTGTAATTGTTTTTGAAAGTCTTTCCTTTAGATCTTTTTGTTTGTATTTCTCCTGTGTTCAATATTCTTCATTCTTTTACCTGTTCTTTGTGTTTTGAAGTCTTTTGGTTACCATTTTTTCTACTGAGCTTGATTTCACTCTTTTGATTGAATCTTTCAGAAACGCAATGCTCATTCGTGTTATTTTCTCTTCTTCCTTCATCTCATTCAGTGTTATATGGTGTATTACTGCTGTACTTATGCTTGGTCAGTTTTTATTTGAAAGGCAAAGTGACAGAGAGACAGAGTTCTTTGACCCACTGGTTCACTCACAAATGGCCTGACTGGCCAGGGCTCGGTCAGGCCCACACCAGGAGCCAAGGAACTCCTTGAAGGTCTCTCAGGGGAGAGGCAGGGACTCCAACACTGCGGCCGTCCCCTGCTGCCTTGGGTGCGATGGCAGAGCAGCGTGCCCGTGGCTGTCCCCTGCTGCCCCGGGTGTGATGGCAGAGCAGCGTGCCTGCGGCTGTCCCCTGCCACCCCTGCCTCGAAGTGTGATGGCAGAGCAGCGTGCCCGTGGCTGTCCCCTGCTGCCCCGGGTGTGATGGCAGAGCAGCGTGTCAACGGTTGTCCCCTGCCACCCCTGCCTCGGAGTGTGATGGCAGAGCAGCGTGCCCATGGCCGTCCCATGCTGCCCCAGGTGTGATGGCAGAGCAGCGTGCCCGTGGCCATCCCCTGCTACCCCCTGCGTCGGAGTGTGATGGCAGAGCAGCGTGCCCGCGGCCGTCCCCTGCTGCCCCGGGTGTGATGGCAGAGCAGCGTGCCCGTGGCCGTCCCCTGCCACCCCTGCCACCCCCTGCCTCGGGGTGTGATGGCAGAGCAGCGTGCCCGCGGCCATCTCCTGCTGCCCCGGGTATGATGGCAGAGCAGCGTGCCCGTGGCCGTCCCCTGCCACCCCTGCCCCAGGTGTGATGGCAGAGCAGCGTGCCCACAGCCTGACGTGGGGCTCCGAAAGGTTGGGCCAGGGCTCTTGCCTCTCCGTTTAGTTTTGTTGAGCATATGCTTGTTAGTCTGTGATGTGACAAGGAACGCTTTTGTTTTCCTTTTGTCACATGTTTTTTATTCAGTTTTACCTTTCATCACTAGTTTTTATATTTCTTTTCCCTGTATCGTTTTCTTTACTGATAAATTAGAAGAAAATGTAAGATTCATAGTCATTAGGGTTCAAGTTTCAGGAAGAAGGCTCTGGAAGGCCAAAGGTCTGGCTCATTGTGAAGGCTTGCTTAGACATGTTGGAATTTGTTATTTCCAAAGTTGCTACCAAGGATGAATTTTACACTTCTTTCCTGTCAGAGATACAAGTCTTACCTAAATTGGTTTCGTGTGAGTATTGGTGCATTTTGTTTCTAACTGTTTGGCAGGAATATGAAAGTGTCCGTCAGGAGTACGAGGAAGTGAAGCAGGCCCGCGATGCCGTGAAGGACGAGGTGAAGAGGCTGAAGGAGGGCCAGATCCCCATGACGCGGCGGATGGAGGAGATTGAAGCACAGCGCCATGGCCTGGAGGCTCAGATCAAGCAAAAGGTGCTTCCATGGCCAATCTAAACGTATTTGACAGATGTTTCAAATGCTTACCGCTTCTGCTAAATTTAACTAGCTTAAGGTTTTTCACATCTGCTGGGTTTCAGAGACCTAATCCAGGAAGGTTGCTACTTTGTAGAAAGTCCAAGGTGCAAATTAAGAAAAAGGAAATTGGGTTTTTTGGCTTTTTTTTTCCTTTGCGTTTTATTTATTTATTTATTTATTTGGCAGCAGGTGTATAGAGATCAGGAGAGGCTGAGTGATCTCCTGTGGCTTCATGCCCCAGATGGCCACAATGGCTGGAGCTGAGTCCGGCTGAAGGCAGGAGCTTCTGGGTCTCACACAAGGGCCTAGGGGCCAAGGACTGAGACGATTCTCCATTGCTTTCTCAGGCCAGAAGCAGGGGGCTGCACTGGGAGGAGAGCAGCTGGAGCTCACGCCAGTGCCCTCGTGAGATGCCCGCGTGCAGGCTGGGGCCTGGCGTGCAGTGGCTGTGCTTACTGCAGTCTTGTCCCCGAGACTCTGATCTGAGCTGCTGTTATCAGTTACACCGTCTGCACAAGAGTTGAGCCATCGTGCCTGTCCAGTAGCGTTTCTTTTGCTACTATTGTGTTAGGAAAGCTCTGCGGTATTTTAAGGTGAAAGATTAATTATGGACACAGTGCAATGGCCCAGTGGCTAAATCCTTGTCTTGCACGCACCTGCATCCCCTATGGACGAGGTTCGTGTCCTGGCTGCTTCACTTCCCATTCAGCTCCCACCTTGTGGCCTGGGAAAGCGGTTGACGATGGCCCAAAGCCTTGGGACCCTGCACCCGCGTGGGAGACACGGGAGAAGCTCCTGGCTCTTGGCTTCGGATTGGCGCCGCTCTGGCCGTTGCGTCCACTTGGGGAGTGAATCAGAGGATGGAAGATCTTCCTCTCTGTTTCTCCTCTCTTAAATCTGTCTTTCCAATAAAAAAAAAGTTTAGTCATTAAGAGCAAGTGAGGGTTTGGGATTTCATTAGATCTGATCTATGAATTACTGTTGGTCATTTTAAATATTAGAACAAGAAGTGATTATAGATACTATTTAGGTATGTCCTCTCTTTTAATAGTAAAAAATTCTGCATTTTTCTAGAAATTCCCCAAGCAAAAGAGATTTAAAAAAGATAGTTTTCAGTCATTACTAGTTGTAGCGGTCAGTAGCTGCATTGTTCATTTTACACACACACTTTAGTCCCTGTGTTTCCTGTTCCGGCTAAGCTGCTGCTTGTGAGGTCGAGGGGAAGGTCTACGGTGAATCCCAGGTTAGTTCATGAAGCCTTTAGTTTTGCTTGGGTGCTTCTAATGGAACTGACTCTTGAGGCATTGCCCAGCGTCTCTCTGCCCGTTTGTTTAAAGTCTAGTACCCTGGCCTATTTTAGAATTGTTTTTCTGAGAAAAGGAGTGTGCTCTCTGTGCTGCCCTCCACCCGCACACTTCTGTTCCCGGTAGAACACATTTTCCAACTTGTGTAATTTGTTTAAACTTTCCTGTCAGGGAGATGATCCAGTGTTCTTAATTATGCATAAGTTTTACATCACATAGAGCAGTCTTTAAATTCCCACTATATTGTTTACTGACCGCCCGGCTTTGAGCAACTTAATCTCCTTGAACTTTTCTCTCTTCAGTAAGGTGAGGTCAGTGGTTGTGACGTTCCTCTTAAAGGCTTAGTATTTATTATTGAAGACATTATATATCCATCGTTAGTGCTCAGCTTACAGTCAGTAAGTTCTGGCTTAGCTTCCTGGGAAGGAGTGGCATCCCCTTGCCCGGATCCCCCGCGGCTTGGCAGCTCACGTAGAGCAGGTCACCAGGCTGACTCCGTGAGGACCAGGCAGAGATGTGGTTTCCTCTGCCGTGGAACTCTCACAGTGCCGCCCCGCGAGGCATCAGGTGTCCACGGAGAGTGGCCCACGCACATTCCACCAGGTGTGCCTCAGTTACCTTGCTTGTACCAGGGGCATGAGCTGCTCAGTGAAGAAATGAGGCAGAGGTTCACACAGTGCGGCTTCCGGCCAGCAGCCAAGGCCCTGCCCTCAGGCGGGCCTTCCCAGAGCCCCGAGGCTGCAGTGCCCACTCTGCTGGGCTGACAGCCAAGGCCCTGCCCTCAGGCGGGCCTTCCCAGAGCCCCGAGGCTGCAGTGCCCACTCTGCTGGGCTGACAGCCAAGGCCCTGGCCTCAGGCGGGCCTTCCCAGAGCCCCGAGGCTGCAGTGTCCCCTCTGCTGGGCTGACAGCCAAGGCCCTGCCCTCAGGCGGGCCTTCCCAGAGCCCCGAGGCTGCAGTGCCCACTCTGCTGGGCTGACAGCCAAGGCCCTGCCCTCAGGCGGGCCTTCCCAGAGCCCCAAGGCTGCAGTGTCCCCTCTGCTCTGAGGCCTGGGCGGCACAGTGTAGGTTGCGCAGTTTCTGTTTTACTCTTTCTGGTGTAACGTTAAAATACGAGGTAGAGAAAACCTTGTGTTTGAAAGGAGACCTAGTTTTTGGCTTGAACTGTGCATGAGGGCTGCTGTTCCCTCTGAGCCTAATTCCTTTGAAAAGCAATAATATGTTTTGACAGCCATATATGACTATTTTCTGATTCAGATAAAATGGGAAAGTAAATACAAGAAAATAAGCATACACATGCATGATACTATTGGCTTTTAATATCAATAGGAATAACTGTAGGTATCATAGTTATGACTTTGGTTTGAAATAAATCATGGGGAAGTATTGCTGTGGATTAACTGACTGACTGAGTGGTTTACTGATGCTTGCCTCTTTCTGGCTCTCTGTTACAGGCAGCAGATATCAAGGAAGCATCTCAGAAATGCAAACAGAAGCGAGACCTCATTGAAAGGAAGGATAAGCATGTAAGGGTCTGCGTTGAAACGTTGCGTTCGTTCACCTTTGTGCTTTCAGGTCGGGACTCGGGACCAGTGCTGTTCCTGAGTTGTTGAAGATCCTCTTCCTTCCACTGCTTCCCTTCGTCTGAGGCGGACTGCCTCTGGACAGTGTGGCACTAGCGCAGACATTGTCTTCAGGACTGCTCCAAAATGTGTACGCGCTGCTCTTTGTAGCGCGTGGGGAGGGTTGCTTAGCAGGGTAGCGGTGGGTTTATTTGTTTAGCCAGAGAAAATCTGGGGACTTAACTCCGCTACGGGGGTTTATTCTGTTATAAGAAATTTCTGTAGGAATCCATGTGTACTTGGGACTGAGACAAAGTATACATACATACACTAAGGCTTTTCATGTTGAATACATTTTCATTATTCAATTGGTATGTTATAATCTCAGCTTATAGTTCTAGTGTCTAGAAATAAGCGGTTAAATGAGAAAACGTGAGCTTATTGTAAGCAGTGTATTGCACATTTGGTTGAATTAGAAAGTTTTTATAAGTTTTAACAAATTTTGTTCAATGTTCTCATTGTTTTCAAGGAGGCAAGAATTTGGAGCGTTTCTTGCTTTACCATTCCTAATGAAACTCAGATCTTTTTTATATGTATAGAAAAATGTTGCAGTTCTCTTAGTAGGAATTGTGTTGAACCCTTGGGGAGCACTGCATCTTGACTGCGTCGTATCCTCGGATCTGTCAGCAGCGTGGGTCTGCGTCTACGCAGACGTTGGATTTGTTTTCACCACATTGTGTAGCTCTTCAAGTCCTCTGTGCCTTACAGCTCACACGTTATCTGTCCCTTCGGCAGCAGCCTCTCACTGACTAGTCTGTCCCTCACTGACTAGTCTGTCCTCTCACTGACTAGTCTGTCCCTTCGGCAGCAGCCTCTCACTGACTAGTCTGTCCCCTCACTGACTAGTCTGTCCCTTCGGCAGCAGCCTCTCACTGACTAGTCTGTCCCCTCACTGACTAGTCTGTCCTCTCACTGAATAGTCTGTCCTCTCACTGACTAGTCTGTCCCCTCACTGACTAGTCTGTCCTCTCACTGACTAGTCTGTCCCCTCACTGACTAGTCTGTCCCCTCACTGACTAGTCTGTCCGCTCACTGACTAGTCTGTCCTCTCACTGACTAGTCTGTCCCTTCGGCAGCAGCCTCTCACTGACTAGTCTGTCCCCTCACTGACTAGTCTGTCCCCTCACTGACTAGTCTGTCTCCTCACTGACTAGTCTGTCTCCTTCACCAGCAGCCTCTCACTGAGGTGCCACAGCTTGCAGGAGATTTTCAGTCTAATCACGTCCTCTTTCTGTTCTCCTTGCTTACTTTCATGTAGTTTCTTTCCCTGCCTTTACTGCACCGGCCAGGGTTACAGTTACTTTGAGGAAGAATTGTCAGTGTGGATTTCTTTGTTCTGTCTTGCTCTTTGGAGGAAATGCTCCAGTTTTTCACTATCAAGTATATCAGTTGTAGGCATTTTATAGTTGCTTTTATCAGATTTTAGATGTTGCTACATATTCCTATGTTTCTGATCATTTTTATCATGAATGGGTAATTTTGTCAACTGATTTTCTATATCTGTTGTATGATTGTATTCTTTTAGCTTGCTAATATGGGGGAAGTAGTGATTGTTTTTAGAGTGTTGAATTAACTTTGCATCCTTGATATAAATCCCAGTTAGCTGTGCATTTTTATTTGTTTTTAAATATTTATTTATATTGGACAGTCAGATATACAGAGAGGAGGAGAGACAGAGAGGAAGATACTCTGTCTGATGATTCACTCTCCAAGTGGCCACAGTGGCTTTAGCTGGGCCGACCCGGAATCAGGAGCCTCCTTGGGGTCTCCCATGCGGGTGCAGGGTCTCAAGGCTTTGGGCCGTCCTCGACTGCTTTCCCAGGCCGCAGCAGGGTGCTGCATGAGAAGTGGGGTACCAGGGCATGATCCAGGTGTGTGCAAGGCAAGGACTTTAGTAGGCTACCGCGCTGGGCCCTGTGGTTTTAAAGGTATGAGTCCTACTTGCCAGCATTCTTTAAGGAGAAGGCACTGGCAGTGTACTGTTAATGATGTCCATCAAAATACTTACATTCTGTGTGTCTCATAGACATGAACATCTAAACATCGAACGATACAAAGATTGTAAGTTTATACTTGTTTAAAAGTCTGTTTTTTTGTAATGAATTATATTTTTATGACTTTTATTAATGGGGAAGGAAATTTTGAAACAAGACCAACTAATAAATGTGTTACATGATGTGTTTCCTTTAATGCATAGTTTTAGTTGTAAAATATAAGTTGGGTGTATAAGTACATATTTGTAAATTAATGTTTCTTAAAGATCTTAATTCTGTGGTAGATAGAGTGATTTAGATAAAAATTTCTCTAACATCAGGTGGCAAATTACAAATCTTGATTTTTAAAAGTTTTAACTAGCATATACGTCAAGAATCTGAGCATATAGATTTATGATGAAAACCTCACAATATTAATCTGAAGTGCTGATAAAGCAGATTTTTCGTTGAAAGAAAATAGCTCAGCTTAAGACTTTGAGCTACATCGTCATTTCTGTTGCTCATTGAGGCAATTGTATGCTTTAGCGCATGGATTTTAATTCCAGTCTTACAATATGTGGTACATACTTACTTTCTGCAAATATTTAAAATATGCTTGGCTTTATAAATGTCTTGGTTTTTCTACTGGTGAATACTCTATATGATAAGTTCTGTTTTAGGTATTTGACATATATGAATAACCAAATAAAACAAAAATAATAATCTGCTTAGAATGGTTATCTAGTAGTCAAATTCTACCAGGATATCTTTGCATTTGTCTATTTATTTGTATTGGAGAGTCAGATATACGGAGAGGAGGAGAGACAGAGAGGAAGATATTCTGTCTGCTGGTTCACTCCCCAAGCGGCCACAACTGCTACAGCTGAGCCAATCTGAATCTAGGAGCCCAGAGCCTCCACTAAATCTCCCACATGGGTGCAGGGTCCCAAGGCTTTGGACCATCCTCATTTGCTTTCCCAGGCCACAAGCAGGGAGCTGGATGGGAAGCGGGGCCGCCGGGATTAGAACTGGTGCCCATATGGGATTCCAATGTGTTCAAGCAAGGACTTTAGCTTCTAAGCTGCTGTGTTGGGCCCAGCATTTGTAAAACTATTACTGTGAAATGCAAACATGGAGTAAAAAACTTTAAGGTCCTAATGCACTTTTGTTTTATTAGATTGAGGAGCTTCAGCAGGCTTTAATAGTAAAACAAAATGAAGAGGATGACCGACAACGAAGAATAAGTAATACCTGCAAAATGATAGCAGATTTGCAGAATGAAGTGAATTCGGCTGAAAACTGAAAATCTTCAGCCTCAGATTGAGGCTGTCACGAACGATCTGAGCCAAGTTCAGGATGAAAAGGCCTTGTGTGAAGGCGAGATCATCAACAAGCGGAGAGAAAAGCAGACGTTAGAGAAGGAAAGAAAGAGTAAGTGTGCTTAAGAAATGCTTCCAAAATGGAGATTTCTTGGTGCGCCTTGCTGTTCATGTGGTCATTTGTTCAGGCCAATCAGGGTTGTTGCTGGAGCTCTGCTCGCACTTGCTCGGTTCCTGAGATACCTGTAGCCACTGTGTGTCAGCTATTAACTGTAACTGTTGGCTTAATTTCTCTAGCAGAGCTAATTCACTGCCACTCCCGTCAGATTTGTTATTCATTCACTCGCCAGCTGTGCTCTTCCAAGCCTATCCAGTGTTGCCTTTTCTTTCCCCTGGATAGGGGATCGAGCCTTGCATCCTCAGCACGTTCTGGGAGAGAGCTTGTGGTCTAAGTCAGCATATGTGACAGATGAATTAGAAGCCGTTGTGTTCATCCCGGCATAGCTCTGTGTGCAGAGTCCAGCTCCAGTCCCACCCTCCCAGCTTGCCAGGAGGAGGCTCTCGGTGAACTCCACTACTTGTTGTCTGTAACAGTCCGTTCTTGTTTATTAATCGTCTTATTCCACTGCGGCTACTTTAGTCGGCTTGAGATGTTCTGACAGTCACTCCGACATGCATTCTAGCTTAGAACAACTTTTCTTTCTGATTCTTGTTCCTGTGATGAGACTGTTAGATTATATTAGAATTGATTTGGGTGTAGGTTACTTAGCACACTGCCTGGAATGCTTGCATCGCGTATCGGACCTCGATTGAGTCCTGGATCTGCTTCCCAGCGCTGTTTTCCGTTGCAGCTTTTTGCTGCTGCGTACCTGGAAGGCGTCCAGTGATGGCTCAGGTGGACTGGTTCCTGCCACCCCCCTTGAGTTCCAGGTTCCTGGTTTTAACTTGGTCAGACCTGAGCTGTGTAGGCGTTTGGAGGGTGGACCAGCAAATGGAAGCTTGCATCTCTTTCCAGTAACATCAGTTTTTTAAAAGTTAATTCTTGGGGTCAACAAGCTAAGCCTTCGGCTGCAGTGCTGGCATCCCTTATGGGTGCTGGTTCAAGTCCTGGCTGCTCCACTTCTGATCCAGCTCCCTGCTTGTGGCCTGGGAAGGCAGCGGCAGATCAGCCAAGCACTTGGGCAAGCTTCTGGCTTCAGTCCAACCCAGCCCTGGCCAGCAGGTAGAAGACAGCTGTGGCTCTGCCTTTCACATAAAAATAAAGAGATCTTTAAAATCAAATAAAAGTTTAAAAAAGGATTAATTTGATTAAATTCCTGTCTTTCTTATTGTTACTTGAGTTACTAATATTCCTGAATGTGTACTTGGCAGTATAAAGTAGCAGGCCTCATCCATGCTTTCCCTCCTCTCACGCTTCCTGGTTCTCATTCTGCCAGCTGGGCTCTGTTTGCTCAAGCCTGAAAACACTTTGATATTCTGTTGAGAAGCATTACTAATTTTTGTGTATTCTCCTTATACGGGTTAATTCTACAAGCTCAGAAATAATATTGTAACAATGAACTCTGACACACCCAAGCCAAGTATTATTTTGTGATTAAATTTCCTTTTGTTAATAGTTTTAAATGTTTTATTCTAGTTTTTAAAAAATATGACACTTGCTTGTTTGTTTCTTTAAATTGAAGGAATTATGAAGTGTTGTTCACTTCTGTAGCTCTGTGCCTCTTGCTGGCCACACTGGTTGTTCTCAGGAAGTCTTCTGTAGCTGCATTCTTTATCTTTGCTGCATAATCAGAGCCCATCCTAAGCAGTGGCATTTTAGAATGAGTTGCATAGTCTTTGTATCCATCCTGGTAGTGTCTTTTTGCTCTCCTTTACTCAATTTTTTGTGTATACTTTTAGGTTAAAAATAAGTTTTCTCAGAATTTTGGAGGTCTGTTGTTACTGTCTTCTGATACGAAACCTAATTTTCTTTTTCTTCTTTTAAATTCTGTATTTATTTCAAAGGCAGAAAAACAGGTCTTGCATCCATTGTTCTTCTCCCTAAATGACCACAGTGTCCCAGCTAAGGGCCGTGAAGCCCCCTGGGTCTCTCATGTACTTGGGACATCTTTCCCTGCCCCCCGGGCCGTTAGCAGGAAGTTGGATTGAACAGTCAGTATTGCAGTACGGCATGCCAGGATTGCAAGCAGTGCCACAACACTGTCCTCTTCTGTTCCTGCTTAGGCTACCTGCTTAACATTTTTTATAGCTTCAAGATTATTTTTAATCTTGGGTGTTAGAACACTTTAGGTTGACTTATCCAGGCCAGTTCTTTTCCTCTATGCAGAGTACTTGCAGAATAATATTTATAAGCTTTACATCTGGCATATTCTGCTGGGGCCCATGTGATGGATGTGGAAGACAGGAAGGTGTGAAGAGTATCGTACCATTGCAGGCAAGGCCGCAAGGAACTTCCCGCTGTGTGGCAAGGCCCGGCGGATGTCTCTACAACACCTGAATGCAGCTCCACCTCGCTTTGCATGGACAACCCCATCGAGATTTCTGTAATCTATTTAGGCATTGTCTGACTCTGTGGAGTTAATGTTTACTACCGCTGTGAGCTTGGAAGTTGATGTTGCTGATACTGTTTTAGCCATAAGGCTTAGGGTTTTCCCTCCCCCCATTGACTATATGCTAATCAAGGGTGCTAACTCCCCTTTTGATCCTAGGCTAATCAAGGGTGTTCTGTCTTCAGGTGTAGTGGGAATCTATTCTTTCCCTCTTTCTTTGATCTTTTAGGTCCCTTCCTTCCTTGACTGTCTCAAGAGCAAGCTGTAGAATGAGAATTGTGGTAGGAATGTGTTACTGACTGATATGCATCATCTATTGAAAACCTTTTCCTAGCCAGGTGCCACGTGCCAGGTGAATAACAACCTAGCCTTAGGTGAAACAAATGGCAGAGTTATCTTTAGAAACCCCCACTTGACCGTGACGAAAAAAGCCTGAGCCAGAGTTTGACTGATTTTGTATAAATAAAGCGGACAGCTTTTGTGCGTCGCCCATTACGATCAGTTCCTACTGGTCTCTTTCTTTCTTTGCGTCTCATCCATGCACCCTTCGCGAGTTCTGAACTCAGCTTGAGCTGGACTCCGGCAATATTCTTTAACATTATTAGCGGGTTATCTTACCGATTAAGGCCTTCAGAGAAACGTGTTTTTCTCACTGCAGATGTGAGCGATCATATATTGCATTTTGGTCATCTTATGAACCAGAAGGAGGATAAGCTGAGACAGAGGTACCGTGACACCTACGATGCCATCTTATGGCTGAGAAGCAACAGAGACAAGTTCAAGCAGAGGGTGTGTGAGCCCATCATGCTCACGGTAAGAAAAGTCTTGTCATTACAGATTGTATTGTCTTAAGAATTCTTGGTCCTTTTGATACCCTGGTTTTCTGCTAGCAGACATCACAGCATGTGGCACAGTGCTTTGTCTGTGTGTGAGCTTGTGCGGGCGGCACCTTGCTGTGAAGCAGTGAACTTTCGGAGAAAGAGGTGTGGGGCTGGCGGGAGGGCAGTGAGCTGTTGCCAGCCGCATCTGCATGTACTGGCTACATGCCGTACCCAAAATGGCGCCGGCCGGAAAAGCCACACCTTGGTTCCTGGTGACGTAGCTTTCGTGGTACTGCGCAGGCGCCTAGCACATGCCCAGTGAGCTGAGGCGTGGCCGGCGCATGAACACTGGGACTGACGAATCCAGTCGCCCAGGACCCTGCGTAATCATGACGCCGACCTATCATCGGTGGAGGCGGGGCCAGTCAGCACATAAGAGCAGACAGCCTGCCGGGATCTGGGCCTTTCCCTCCTCATCTTGGTGCGCGCAATAAAGATTACCGCAGAAGACTTCACTCGCGTCTGCCTCTTATCGCCGGACGATAAGAAACGTGGGCGCGACAACTGGTGCCGAATACCCGGGACCTGGAGGGGGCCTCCCGTTTTGAATGGGACGAAGTCAGAACTGCGGCCATAAGACAGGTAAGGAGCTCTGAGAGGGAGAACTTTCGGGTGACTAGGAGCATAAATCGGAGGTATAGGAGCCACTGCTTCTGGTTATAGACATGGGTGCACAGATCTCTCTGGTAAAAATTTTTGCAGACGGTTTATGCCCTCCTTAAGGGAGCGGTCAGAGAGAGTGACAAAGCCCTTCAGTCTGCCCAGGATAGTCTCTCAGAAACAGAGCGGGAGAGGAGAACCGGTTTGAATCAAAAAAGGTGAAATTGAAAGCAGGATCTTCCTCATCAAGTTCGGAGATGTCCGACGCGGAGGAAGGGTACAAGCGGGATAGGCGTTTAGAACGCAAACAACCCGCAGGAAACAGAGGAGGATCAGAAAAGGAGAAGAAAGAGAATTGCGGTGCTACTGCTCCGGCCATGCTCGGCCCATGGCCTCAGGGCTCTGGAGCCATTTCACTAATGGTTCCTCCTCCTGTAACCCCATCTGCCCCACCCATGAGTTGTGGTGCCGGCTCCTCCTTCATCGATCCAGTCACGCGCCGGGAACTTCAAAATATGTTCCCCGTCTTAGAAGAAGAAAGGGAAAGAGTTTACAGACAGGTAGATGCATTATTAGTGCGAGAATTGGCCATGTCTGTAAAGCAATATGGTCTTCATGCCAACTACACTTTGTCCCTGTTAGAACGTATGGGGGGAATGAATATGACTCCCTCTGATTGGCAATTTGTGGTGAAGGCTGTTCTCCCTAATATGGGATCATATCTAAATTGGAAGGGATTATGGCAGGAGCCTTTGGCTGAGACCGCCCGCGCAAATCAACAGCGCGGCGGCGACGCTTTGACGTGGTCTTATAATATGCTTTCCGGACAAGGCCAATACTCGGATGATCAAAATAGATATCCATGGCCAGTGTATACTCAAATTTCTACTGCAGCTATAAAGGCTTGGAAGGCCCTTTCACTTAAAGGGCAAGAGAAACTGGGCATTACACAGGTTAAGCAGGAGCCAGATGAGCCCTTTGCTGATTTTGTGGCACGCGTAATGCAGGCCGTGGAAAGGACCTTTGGAGAGGGAGATCAGAACACTAGAATGGTAGAGCAGATAATTTGGGAGCAGTGTAATGCAGAATGTAGAGCCCTACTCAAGGATCGTAAGTCCAAGGGAATTTCAGATTGGCTAAAGGTTTGTAGGGATACAGGAGGCCCTTTAACAGCTCATGGACTAGCAGCCGCCATTTTGAGGTCTAATCATAGGGAGAGAACATCACCCGTGTGCTTTCAGTGTGGCAAACCAGGACATATGAAAAGGGAATGCCGTGCAGGGCCTAGCAATAAGCCTCCTGGGATATGCCCACGGTGCCGCAAAGGTAGACATTGGGCCAATGAATGCAAGTCAGTGAAGGATATAAAAGGACGCCCTCTCTCGAGTCAGGAGCCAAAACACCCCTTAAGCCAGGAGTCAAAAAACGGGAGATGGGGATCGAAGGCCCAGGTCCCCTTGACCGATCGGGCACTCTTCCGTCATGCATGAGGGAACCCTGCCAGGAGCGACACCCTGCAAGTCTGGACCTCTGTGCCGCCACCGGAGTCCTCTTAAAACCAGAGGACGGCATTACGCCGGTACCGGTCATCTTAACAGACACGGTACCACCTGGTGCGGTCGGGCTTGTGATAGGCCGAGCAGCCTTGAGCTCTCAAGGTTTTATTGTAACACCTGGAATTTTACATCCGGAAGCTAGCTCCTTTTCAGTGCTGTGCTCAGTCGCACGAGGTGCTTTTGCTGTCGCGCCAGGTGATCCTATAGCCCAACTCATATTTTTACCAGCTTTAATTAGTGCAGATAAGACTGTCCAGACCCAAGTAGAGGTTCCTTATATAAATTTAATGATGGATATGATCGATAGACCCATGCTTGAGTTGCAAATAGAGAATAGACCGTTTATGGGACTTTTAGACACGGGAGCTGATAAGAGCATCATAACCTCCAAGTATTGGCCGCGTGATTGGCCTTTGATTCAAACTTCTCACAGCCTACGCGGTCTGGGGTTTGAACAAGCTCCATCCCAAAGTGCCAGAGCCCTACAGTGGAAGGATAAGGAAGGCAATTGCGGGACAGTCACACCCTATGTCCTGAACCTACCGGTTTGCCTTTGGGGAAGAGATATTCTTCAACAGATGGGGATACGACTAGTCTCCAATGCCTCCGGTTATTCTGAAGTCTCTCAAAAGTTGATGGATAAAATGGGCTATATTCAAGGAAAGGGTTTAGGTAAACAGAGTCAAGGTATTGTCCAGCCAATTGAACCTCGAGGAAATCCAGGCCGTAAAGGTCTGGGTTTTTAGTAGTGGCCTTTGGCACGCAGCTGCCCATACCTTGGAAAACAGCGGAGCCGGTTTGGGTTCCCCAATGGCCGCTTTCTCTTGAAAAATGCCAAGCTGCTCAACAATTAGTTCAGGAACAGCTACATTTGGGACATCTGGAGCCCTCTGTTTCTCCTTGGAATACTCCTATCTTTGTTATCAGAAAGAAATCAGGAAAGTGGCGCCTCCTACATGATTTAAGAGCTGTAAATGCACAGATGCAGTACTTTGGTCCCGTTCAACGTGGCCTTCCAGTTTTGTCATCCCTCCCTAAGCAATGGCCGTTATTAGTGATTGACTTAAAGGATTGCTTTTTTTCTATACCATTAGCATTGAAGGATAGGGAGAGGTTTGCTTTTACTATTCCCTCCATTAATCATGAAGAACCGGATAAGCGATATCAATGGAAAGTTTTGCCCCAGGGGATGGCTAACAGTCCTACCATGTGTCAACTTTATGTTGCCCAAGTGTTACAACCACTGCGAGATCGTTTTCCAGTGGCCCGTGTCGTCCATTATATGGACGATATTTTAATTTGTGCTCAAGAGCAAGATCAGTTGTTACAGATTTACGTTGATCTGAAGCGGGCTTTACAGGATTATGGCCTTATAATTTCATCCGAGAAGGTTCAAATGCAGCAGGTGAAAGCCTTCTTAGGGTCTTTAATTACAGAAACATGTATTAAGCCTCAAAAGATAAGCCTCAAGATTTCTCATTTGCGAACTTTGAATGATTTTCAGAAATTAGTGGGGGATATTAATTGGTTGCGACCCTTCCTTAAGATCTCTTCTCAAGAGTTACGGCCTTTGTTTGCTCTGCTTGAAGGCGATTCTGATCTCGCTTCCAGGCGAACCCTCACCCATGAGGCACAACAGGTCATAATAAAAGTCCAGGAAGCTATTGAAAAGGCTCAATTAGTACGCCTAGATCAAAATCAGCCTTTTGAGCTATGTGTATTGCCTACAGAAGTTTTCCCCACTGCTGTATTATGGCAACAGGGCCCGTTACTTTGGATTCATTCTCAGGTTTCTCAGATTAAGTCTATTCAGTGGTATCCATCTGCAGTCGCATCAATAGTGTTTAAAGGATTAAAATTAGCCTTAATTCATTTTGGGTGTCATCCAGACCGCATAATAGTCCCCTATACTGTCCAGCAATTACAAGTGCTGAGTGGGTGTAGCAATGAGTGGTCCATCTTAATGTTTGTCTATCAGGGAATTTTTGATAATCATTTTCCAAGGCATCCATTACTACAATTTTTACAGCGACATCCTGTGGTTTTTCCGATAAGAACCAGTGCCTGTCCTCTCCCTGGTGCTCTTACAATTTTTACTGACGGTTCCTCGACAGGAGCCGGAGCCTTAGTTGCCGGAGATACTGTGATAAAAAAGACCTTTGCGACGGTCTCTCCTCAGAGGGTAGAATGCCATATGGTGCTTTTTGCCTTACAAACCTTTCTAGAACCTTTGAATATTGTTTCTGATTCTCAATATGTAGTTAATGCAGTGAATGTTTTGGAGGCCGCTGGCTCTATTTCAGGGTCCGGCCCAGTGGCGGATCTCTTTAAACAAATTCAACAGGCCATCTGGCGTAGAAGCCACCCCTTTTATATAACCCATATCCGAGCTCATTCAGGTTTACCAGGGCCATTAGCTCGAGGGAATGCTCTTGCCGATGCCGCCACCAGAACCCAAATCATGATTATGATGGTGTCTCCACCATCCTCAGGGGAGAAAGCCCGCCAGTTTCATTCACAATTTCATGTTTCAGCCCAGACCCTCAGACTCCGATTTGGGATCACTAGAAAGGAAGCACGCCAAATAGTTCTTGATTGCCCTGCCTGCTGCGAATTTAGACCTGCTTCACATGAGGGGGTCAATCCTAGGGGATTGAGACCTAATCAATTGTGGCAGATGGATGTGACACACGTCCCATCCTTTGGGAAGAACCAATTTGTTCATGTATCCGTGGACTCCTTTTCTGGTGTGCTCTTTGCATCAGTTCTAACCGGG